GGCCGGACTGATAGGAGAATGCGCAGACAATACGCGACTTATCACCACGAAATGAGCTAAAAGTCACATTGTTTACTGGTCCCAGAGGGCCGACTGGCTGACTGATCGACCGACTGGCTGATTCATACTGACTGACTGTCACTTGTCATCTAGGCAGTGCTATCATATAGGATTACTCCGCTCTGCCAATGGGTGGGCTCAATTTCTGCCATTGTGTAGGCCAGATGTATGAAGTGACTTCCAGTGAATAGCCATTCTGAATCAATTGTACAGAATTTTGTGTGCTCTGGGACCAGCTATCCGCTCTGTTCACAAGCACCCCCTCACCGGCAAAGGAAGTACAGTTGGGGGTGACCGACCGACGCCATCTTGCCTGACTGCAATTCATTTGCCGCGAAGCATGGCCACTGCGTGTAAATAGTACAAATCCCCTGGTGTACGTGCGTCACACATAAGGAACGGTGCGCGTCAACCAGCGAAATGTCCCGCCCATGGAATGTCGTTGTTAGGTGAAAGGGCGCCCTCTTTTTGTAGCGCACGGAGCCCATAGTAGGCTTGCCCTGTTTTGTTTTTAGGAACTGAGATATTGATATTTCTGGTCTCTGGAGGATAAGAGCTTTCCAGTGGTATACATTTTGGGGTAGTGAGTTTAGTGACAGAATAAATAAGTTGAGCAGGCTTAATGGTATTTGAATGGAGTTTTTGGTGCCCAATCCAAATAGATTCTTAAATTGTTAGATGGAATCAGAATTCTATTTGCTTACCCAACTCCACTGAACAGGATTGGCAGAGACCTCTTTGTGCCGACCATTGTCGGCGATGCAATCAGATTGGCTGGATCGGCGACAACAAGTGTGTGCTGTCAAGGAGGGTAAACAAAAGCATGTTTTAAAACTAGTACCAACAAGCAATCGCTCTGTTTCACCTAAAACTACCCAGGAATCCTTTAACCCTACCCACCTTAACTCCATCCCCCATTTTGATGGATTTTGGGGGACTTGGTCCAGAAGGCCTGGCGTGACTAAATATTGATGGAGTATGGACTTGGGCCTCATGGCCTGAAGCAGTGCTAGGGCCTTAGGGGTATCCGATTGAATTTGCCTAGCTTCCTGTACTGCTGTTGTGATAAAAGCCATGTGTAGCAAGTCCATGAATGTCAACCAGTGCGTCAGTGGTGGATTCTGTTATGTCATGTACAGTTATGTATTGGAAGCACAGTGATTGATGGATTTTGATGGACTTGGTCCAGTTCCTAGTTAAAGACGTTAGGGAGTTTAGGGTCAATAAGACACCACCACTGTGATAGGTTTGCCCACACCAAGCCAGCACTGTTTGGCACCTACCAGTCCCTCGTCGCTGACGTCGTAGCTGAGATGGTCAATGACGGCCGTCCCCTCCTCGTCAAAATCAACTCCGCATTCTGTACCGAGCTCTCTGATTGGTTCACCTTGTGGCCCAGGAAAGTAGCAACAACAAAAAAACGCACACCAGTGAAAATGGTCCAATGGACACGAAATGAGGTACAAAACGCTGTAGTGATAAATAAGGCAAAAAAAAAAAAGTCTCCGGTTTCTGGTATGGAGCTTGCCCCAAAAGTGGTGCGGCGACGCGGCTTTTTTTTTTTTTTTTACCTGTTTTTTTTTCTTTTTTTTTCAAATGTCGGCTGATGACTGCAAATGGTGCCCGACTAAACTTAGTGCAAATATATGGGAGTCCAGAGAGGCCACATAAAGCTTATTCTCGATCATAACCCCATCTAAAAACACGTTAAAATTGTGCAGCAGCAGGATTCCAGTCAAACCAGTGAGTTTGGCGGTTTTGAGACATCATCTTGTATTGAAAAAAAAACTGTTTCATTTTGCCGACGCGCATGGCTGCGGCGACGCGCGCGCATACCAGAAACCGGAGACTTTTTTTTTGGCCTAAGCAACAGATGCACGAAATGCAATGTTCTTGCAACACAATGCAGGGACCCCAGCACTTTACGAAAACAAATTTCCCCGAGTTCTCCCGGACATTTCCCTGAGAAATTTTGAAAATTCCAAGAGAAATGTTTTCACTTTAACGAGGTTGCTGAAAATTCAAGAGGTGGTTGCAGCAAATCAACTCAGATACTCTTAAGCAACTTGTTGAAATCAATGGCCTCTCATCTCACTGTATAGCCATCCGTTGCTCACCATGCGCAACAGAGACGCACATATGCGACCAGCTCCACAAAAAAAGGGTATTAAGTCGCTCTGAGCATTATTGTGAAATGGCCTGCTCAACATTGAGCGGGTGAAGATTTTGTCAAACTGTGATTTTCATTTTTTGTTATGAATGACATCTCTGATACCTACAGTTTCAGGTTTCATTCACAGAAATGTTATTTTTGGTGGAAAAAGTGGGAAAAACAACGATTTTTTGTGAACTCCAAGGAAGTAATTAATATGCAAATACGTCTCCAGAACGGGAGGGGCTATGGAGCTCTACTATATACCAAATGAAAGCTTACATTGTGAGCTTTCCAACCATGTATATAACTCAATTTCACTTTTTTGCGACATCATACCCTTTTTTGTGGAGCCGGTCACATATGCCAAACTGGAGGAACCTTTCCCTTCTGGGTCACTGTCAAATTCTGTGAGTTTTCCCTGATTTTGTTCCCCCCAATTTGTTCCCCCGGACTGGAAATATGGAAACTCTTTTTCAAGGTTTTCCATTATTTCATAAGCGGTTAGGAACCCTGCAAAGTTGTAGCTGCAATTTTACAGTTGGGAAAGAGGTTTAAACAGGCAGTGCAATTTCTATCATCCTAACTTCCAAAACATTTTCAAATTTTGTTTAAAAAAGTTTTCCCACAGTTATATTAACAGTCAAATTTGTAAGATAAATCCCTGCACTAATTACGACAGGTTTCGTTTTGAAAACTGAAAAGTCTGAATACTTGGACCAAAAAAGATGTACCTATATCTGAGTTTGCAGCAACTAGAACATTTCCACCAGAATCAATGAACTCTGTAATAGATCCTTCTGCAATCTGACCTCCGAACTCTGTGGATGAATAAGAAATAATAAAAAATCTTCAGTAAACTTGCTCAACAATTTACAGGTAATTGGCCTATACAACATCTGCAGTCAATAAAAAAAGAAAGAAAACTACTAAATTATTATGAAATACCTTACTTGACTGTTAGTGAATTATAGTCTCAGGCATTCTGTAAAATCATGGCACCTGGAGTGGTGTCATTTTCAAGAAAAGTGGATTTTTTTGGTATTAATAGTGTGTTTTGGGTAAGAAACTGATTGTTCCCCTTCAAATACCGCCCCCAATGTACCACATATAGTTAGTGCAAGCCAGCTAGTCTGGTTCCCTGACCTAACAATTTCCAGATGTCCATAAATTGCTGGGTTTCGTCAGTGGAAATATATATCAGATTTTAAATTCCCACAGTGATTGAAGCACTTTGCTAGCACAAAGCAGTTAAAACCAACCACAAAAACCATCTCTACCCTCACATGTGTACCATTAATTACTCCTGGGTGGGAGAAGCATCTGAGTGATGACAAAGTGCCTTGCCCAAGGGCACATGCGCAACATGCACGTAATGTGGTATTCTGTAGTTGTTATGTATTTTTATTACGTTTTAATTTTAATTGTTTCAGTAGAATATTAAACAACTCATTGTTCTCAGTAATAAGATGAATGTACTAGTTTCAATTTACGCATAAGTGCCAAAACTTGAATGAAACTTTAAGAGAGAAAACTTATAAATGCATTGAAAATGCTCATAAGATGTACTTCTATCTAATTTTGGTACGTTTTTGGTAAAACCAAAATGTTGCGGAAAAAACCTCAGAACTTTAGGGTGCATATGTTAATAAAATCTTATTCAAGTACTTTAACTATAATTTAAAAAAAAAAAAAATTGGGGGGGGGGGGTCAAAGGCATATAGGATCATTTGTATTATCTCAAAATTAACCTATCAGACAGCTTAGGCCTACGTGGATTAAAGATATAGTACTGGTACTAATCAGTGTTGCAGTCGAGTACTTTTTTCCGAGTACCGAGTACTGCCGAGTACTTAGGTTGCCGAGTACGAGTACAAGTACTTGTACCTCAGAGTACAAGAACAGGTCTCCGAGTACGAGTACTTGTACTTCCGAGTACGAGGACTAGCATTTTGGAATACGGCCATACAGCAAATGGTTCATTGTGCGTAATTAGCCCAGGCCCAGTCAGACCGATAAACAGACCCACTCACGGCTAGCTGTTAAATGTGTTTGTCCGGACTTGCACAGAAGAAAATCAGGAAATCTCGATTTCTCCACAAGCCAATTCAACTATTTCAAACTGAGAGTATCGATAAAATAAGGCCATGGTAAGTGAAGCTATAACATTTTCCCCGGCCGAGTACTGCTATTCGAGTACGAGTACTTTAATGATCGAGTACAATTTTGACATGTCGAGTACGAGCACTTTGCTGCCCGAGTACGAGTACTGTCATTTTGAGTACGAGTACTTCGACATTCGAGACTTGAGTAGTACGTAGTATACTTGAGTACTACAACACTGGTACTAAACACCTCATGAAATAATTTTGTCTGCATGGCTTGCTATCATTTAGAAGAAATCATGCAATGTAGGTGATGTCCAGCTATCAGGCAGTTTATTGATTTTGGGGTGGGGCAGGGGCGGGGGGGGGGGGGGGGGGGGTTTGGGAGAGTTGTGGATGTGTGGGAAGGGTGGGTGGAATCCCCTTATTTATCCCCCGAACCGATCAAGTTTTTAGACCGATGTCTTTGAATACTTATGACCATAATTCCAAAACGCTTGAGCTTTGTCCGATTGAGCTAAAATTCTGCATTAAAAACTTGGATGTTTCTACTAGCATTCTAAATTAAATAGAATATCGGATCTAGCATTCTAAATTAAATAGAATATCGGATTATCCGATAAGGGGTTAGGCCATTCTGCAGTCAAAACAGTTAGGCAATCAAACAAGACATAAAACAGTTCTTTCTTTTTCGTAAACTTTTATTTCCCAAATCACTGCACAAGACAATTTTTGTTCCCTTCTTTTCAATTAATTACATCAATGTGCTTGTAACCATCAAAATTTGTAAAAAAAACCCAATTTCTGCTGTGCGCTTAAAAATGAAAAAAAAAATCCATTTGAATAAGGCACAGCTAAATTGTACAAAACCTTTCAATTTAGTACAAGATGATCCAATGTACGGTTTAAGATAGAAAAGTTTACTCTCACAGAAGTTTGCAGTACCATTTTTTCCTCTTAGTACACCAAGGTAAAAGTGAATTGTTTTTCTTTTGCCTAAACTCAGTTGTCACACATGCGTATGCAGAAAAGTGAGTGTAGTTCCAATTTTATGGAGTGAAAAAGACATAGAATGAATTGACCTACACGTTATCTGCCCAAATGCAAAGAGCTTCTAATGTACATTCCAAGTTTAGACTCTTAGACCTGACAGTTATACCAAGCTTATAAAATTGAGCCACTTCAAGAAGGGACAGTTCCAATGTGAAAGGAACACATGTGAACATAAAGCAAATCTTATGGACATGCGGCCGATTTTATGAACTAGTGCGCAACTTACGCCATGCGAAGGACTTGATGTACAGCTGCGCAATAAACTAATGATCAAAATCATGAAACCTGGACAGCTGCGCAACGTTTTAAATAATCTAAACATCTTGGACGAGGATAATAACAGCATTTACGACGGCTGTTTGTGGACGATTTTGTTTGTTCGTGAAACAGTTCGTAAATCACCTCTGCCGGCCAGTTTGAATATATTTTTTTGGTCCGTCTTTTTTTTTTTGGAATCGAGCGGCAATTTTAAAAACTGTTTTACCTCAAACGCAAAGCTGCCAGTGTCTTGTATCAACCTTGATAAGTTGTGCAATAACAGGCTCCACGACGATCACGATTTGCTGGTAAAATATGTCATTTTCAGTCGTTACACCACAACTTACGCCACCTAAAATGATTGCGTAAATTCGCCACAATTTGTAAGCGAAACGTACGCACTATGAAACTGTCATGAAATTTTAATAGCTGAAATGTTGCGCAACTTGCGCAATGAATTTGTGTTGCAAGTGGACTTATGGCATTGTGTAAAGTTTGGCGAAATTGGCTGCAAGTCCTACAGATCATCTAAAAACAAAAACTGAACCACCCCCTTAAAGTTTGGCTTTGCTCCACTGGTCTGCTAAGTGGCAATTTAGTTGTGATGGGTCACATTTAAATCCATTTTATTTTACATTATGATCACGAATGGAACTGCCCCCCAAAAACACCAAAATAAAAATGGAAAGATCTTAAAAAGAAATAAGAGTGTGTTTTAGAAAGTCTGAGGTGACTGAAATGATTTTGTTACTCCTTCTTGGCCTTGGTGTCTTCACGGTGGTGGAGGAAGATAAGGCTGAACAAGAAGAGGCCAAACATCATGGAGAAGCTACTGGCGTAGTAGGGAAACGCTGAGGGGATGAAACGCTCAAACTGGGTGTGCTCCCACGGCCGAACAGATACCTGGGGGTGGGAGGGGTAGGAGGGGTTGGAGGAAGGCGACGATGAAAAATATGAGAATTGATATCAACATTAGATAGCTCTAAAGATTACAATGCAAAAGATGTATTCCACGTGCTCATGTATTCCACGTGCTCATCAACAAATTAATTTTTTTTCCTTAAGAAAATTTTAAACTTGTATGTTTTATTCCAACCTAAAACACCCTTTCTTCAGCATCTGCAACCACCTGAAAAAAAGTTTAATTTCGGGCACAAACAGGGCAAAAAACACCAGTCTATCCCACGAGAATGGAACTATTGTCTGGCCATCAGTAATTCAAATATTGTGATTTAGCAATAATTCAATAACTAAACATTCTGTTTTGTTTGAAGCAACAGAAGTGCTTAAAAATCTTAAGTATGGTGCCTAACAACCAAACTGTGTTTAGTTTCAGCTGAAGTGAGCCGCCAAGATATGGCAGGATAGCTCAGTTGGCACTCCTGAGGTTGCAGGTTCGAACCCCGCTCCATCCAATTTCTTTGTTCCACCTTTAAAAGGAGTTCTTTTTATGAGAGATTTCTTCCTTACCTGAGTTGTGCTGTACAGATGGGTGTAGCCGATGCGATTGTAGTCCACCTTGAATTGGAACACGCCGTACACATCGGGCAGCTTGAACTGGGTGGAGAACTTGCCATCTTGAGGGAGTGAGGTCAACAGAAATACAGAATTATTATATTGAGAATAATAATAATAATAATAATAACAGATAATTTACAAGGCGCACAGTATCTGGAGAACCATTCAAAGGCGCCGGTCACTAGCAAATCACTGTGGTTTAAATGATAGATTGAAAAGATGAGTCTTAAGATGGTGTTTGAATGTTGATAAATCAGTTGTGTCCCTTAACTCGTCTGGCAAGTAGTAGTCTGCTGAGAAGTAGCATTACTATGAGTTCATAAGCATATATCTGACCCGGGTTCGAATTCTAGAGTGCTGTGGCCCAATAGTTACAGTGTCTGCCTCATGAGTAATGGTACATGGGTTCAAACCCTAACTGGGAACACAGTGCTTGCGTCCTTGGGCAAGACACTTGACTACAATTACCTCTACCTACTCGGGGAGTATAAATGGATGTCTGTAAGGGTGAAGATCAGACTACGCTGATCTCTGCAGAAAACTGGTCTCCCGACGAACAGGAGTATTAACTGTGTTGTGCTTTGAGACTTTGGTACAAAATAGACAAAAATACTTAATTTAGTCAGGTTTTGATGTTTCATAAAAGTGCGGACTCACTCTTGCCGGTCAGTTTGGTTCGGACGAAGGGGTCAATGCGGACAAACTCCAGCTGGACGTCAGTGGCCGAGAACGGCTTCCATTTACCGTCGACCAGAATATCAATCCAAATATTGTATTCCTGGAAAGTAGAAAAAAACTTTGGAAGGTGACTTTCTCCAATGATTATTACATAGACACAGACTCTGCAAAGGTTCTGCATGACTGTTCTTGAGAGCTCTACTGGGCGGCATGTACCATATGCATGCACCACTTTGCATCCACAGCTTAACCCTAACTCCCTAGCATGATTTACTAGGAACCATACCCATCCTGACAAATTCCATCACCATATGGGAAACTGTGCACACGTATTTCTGACTTTGATTCTGGAGGTGTGCCAACCCAGTGTAAACGACTGACAGTTTAGGGGTACTGTACCCATCCTGACAGATTCCAACAAAACATGCTGTTGGGGTTTGATGGGTTGAGTTCTGTTAGGGTTAAAGTATGCAACTTATCTACATCAAAAGTGATAAGTCATTGAATATAGTGAGCTGGTTTCTGTTTTGTTCCAAAACTACACATACAAATACAACCCTTGTGAGACGTTGATCAAGACCAAGTCACTGTGTTTCTGGTTTTTTTTTCTTTTAACCCTCCTCGTGGGAAGTCAATATTCAGAGCAATGTGTAAAACCCTTTAAAACCCTGCAGGTCAGTGTCAGGTGAAGGGATATGAAGTGTTAAAGTAACTTTATCACACAGAGAGTCACTGCACATAAAAACAGCACTGTGGAGAGCAGTGAAGTGTGACCGAATCTGCCTGCTTGCCCTGAGCTTAACCACACAAAACTGTGCGGGGATTTGAAGTGTCGTCCATACTCTACAAAAGATTACGTCAAAGGAATTTGAAGTGTGGACGCAAACTCTGTGGGCAAAAGTGATTTAGCTTAACTTGAAGCATTGCCAAGTAGAGAAAACTAGGAGGGTTAATTACATCCCCGGTAATTCCCAAGCTACCCATAAAGTCACAGCCCTTGTGGTAGGTAGTTAAAGACCAATGCACTGTGTTTCTGGATTGTTTTTTTTATGAAAGGTTAAGCCTGCCCTACCACTTGGTCCTCCACCGTGTAGGCAGCCGGAGTGCTCTTCTCATTGACGAGGTGATGTGAGACACGCTGGACACGCAGCACGCCTTGCTCCTTGAAGACCCAACCAGACAGGGCCAAGGCTAGGTCCTGGTTGCCTGAACGATCCGATCTGAAAAAAAAAAATATGCCAACAGGAATACAGCGTGCAAGTTTACCTCAAAAATGTGCGAGATTTTATGAGAATACAGCACATCTAGCACCATGTATAGGATCTACAACATGTGTAACATCCTATTTTTTTGCATTATTTTGTGTCCTGACTGGGCCCATCCAATCATGGGCAACAAATGGGTACTTCAAAAGAAAAGAAAACACGAACTTTTGAAAATGTTGCGTATTGATAGACTATTAGTAAATTATAATTGTTGACCTCAACTTCCGTTTAGTCGATCACCCAGATAACAAGTGGGTAAATTCAAACGTGGGAGTCTGTGAGTAGAGTGGTACCAACACGTTAACATAAAAAGTGAATGTGGACTGGTGATTTTGTATTACCGCTTTTATTGTTAACGATTCCTATAACTAAAGCATACTTGTAAACAATGTGATAACAGTCACTTTGAGGACCTGAGCGGTATTTTTGTGTCCAAAACCTTAGGACACATGTCAAGAAAAAGTTCAAGTCCAAAAAGTAGGAACAAAAGAAGGGAACTTAATCGGTCCTCGTTCATATTGTCAAACTTGTCGAGTCCGAACAAAAGACGGGAACTTTGAAGGTCCTCGTTTAGATTAGAAAACGAGACTTTCTTGACAGGGGAACTCACTTGGAGGATCCTGGGGCAGCCTTCTGCACCGAGGCCTGAAAGAACTTGTCGCTGAACATGTCCAGGGAGCCGCTGAAGACCACGCGGGCGTTGTTGCGGGCCTGCAGGGCGGCCACCAGCAGGGTGTTGGTGCCCACGGCGTGGGGGTAGTCTGTCACGTCCTTGGTCGGGTTGTGGGAGTAGGAGGACGAGCCACCGTGAAGGACGTCAAGGACCAACGGGTTGTCTGTATCCGCGGTCATCCTGGATAGGAGAATGCGCAGACAATACGCGACTTATCACCACGAAATGAGCTAAAAGTCGCATTGTTTACTGGTCCCAGACAATACGCGACTTATCACCACGACATGAGCTGAAAGTCGCGTTGTTTACTGGTTGCAGAGGGCCAGACTGATAGGAGAATGCGCAGACAATACGCGACTTATCACCACGAAATGAGCTAAAAGTCGCATTGTTTACTGGTCCCAGACAATACGCGACTTATCACCACGACATGAGCTAAAAGTCGCGTTGTTTACTGGTTGCAGAGGGCCAGACTGATAGGAGAATGTGCAGACAAGATGCGACTTATCACCACGAAATGAGCTAAAAGTCGCATTGTTTACTGGTTGCAGAGGGCTAGTCTGATAGGAGAATGCGCAGACAATACGCGACTTATCACCACGAAATGAGCTAAAAGTTGCATTGTTTACTGGTTGCAGAGGGCCAGACTGATAGGAGAATGCAAAGGCAATACGCGACTTATCACCACGAAATGAGCTAAAAGTTGCATTGTTTACTGGTTGCAGAGGGCCAGACTGATAGGAGAATGCGCAGACAATACGCGACTTATCACCACGAAATGAGCTACAAGTCGCATTGTTTACTGGTTGCAGAGGGCCAGACTGATAGGAGAATGCGCAGACAATACGCGACTTATCACCACGACATGAGCTAAAAGTCGCATTGTTTACTGGTTGCAGAGGGCCGGACTGATAGGAGAATGCGCAGACAATACGCGACTTATCACCACGAAATGAGCTAAAAGTCGCATTGTTTACAGGTCCCAGAGGACCAGACTGATAGGAAAATGCGAAGACAATACGCGACTTATCACCACGAAATGAGCTAAAAGTCGCATTGTTTACTGGTTGCAGAGGGCCAGACTGATAGGAGAATGCGCAGACAATACGCGACTTATCACCACGACATGAGCTAAAAGTCGCATTGTTTACTGGTTGCAGAGGGCCAGACTGATAGGAGAATGCGCAGACAATACGCGACTTATCACCACGACATGAACTAAAAGTCACATTGTTTACTGGTTGCAGAGGGCTAGACTGATAGGAGAATGTGGAGACAATACGCGACTTATCACCACGAAATGAGCTAAAAGTCGCATTGTTTACAGGTCCCAGAGGGCTAGACTGATAGGAGAATGCGAAGACAATACGCGACTTATCACCACGAAATGAGCTAAAAGTCGCATTGTTTACAGGTCCCAGAGGACCAGACTGATAGGAAAATGCGAAGACAATACGCGACTTATCACCACGAAATGAGCTAAAAGTCGCATTGTTTACAGGTCCCAGAGGGCTAGACTGATAGGAGAATGCGAAGACAATACGCGACTTATCACCACGAAATGAGCTAAAAGTCGCATTGTTTACAGGTCCCAGAGGACCAGACTGATAGGAAAATGCGAAGACAATACGCGACTTATCACCACGAAATGAGCTAAAAGTCGCATTGTTTACTGGTTGCAGAGGGCCAGACTGATAGGAGAATGCGCAGACAATACGCGACTTATCACCACGACATGAGCTAAAAGTCGCATTGTTTACTGGTTGCAGAGGGCCAGACTGATAGGAGAATGCGCAGACAATATGCAACTCATCACCACGAAATGAGCTAAAAGTCGCATTGTTTACTGGTTGCAGAGGGCCAGACTGATAGGAGAATGCGCAGACAATACGCGACTTATCACCACGACATGAGCTAAAAGTCGCATTGTTTACTGGTTGCAGAGGGCCAGACTGATAGGAGAATGCGAAGACAATACGCGACTTATCACCACGAAATGAGCTAAAAGTCGCATTGTTTACTGGTTGCAGAGGGCCAGACTGATAGGAGAATGTGGAGACAATACGCGACTTATCACCACGAAATGAGCTAAAAGTCGCATTGTTTACTGGTTGCAGAGGGCCAGACTGATAGGAGAATGCGAAGACAATACGCGACTTATCACCACGAAATGAGCTAAAAGTCGCATTGTTTACAGGTCCCAGAGGACCAGACTGATAGGAAAATGCGAAGACAATACGCGACTTATCACCACGAAATGAGCTAAAAGTCGCATTGTTTACTGGTTGCAGAGGGCCAGACTGATAGGAGAATGCGCAGACAATACGCGACTTATCACCACGACATGAGCTAAAAGTCGCATTGTTTACTGGTTGCAGAGGGCCAGACTGATAGGAGAATGCGCAGACAATATGCAACTCATCACCACGAAATGAGCTAAAAGTCGCATTGTTTACTGGTTGCAGAGGGCCAGACTGATAGGAGAATGCGCAGACAATACGCGACTTATCACCACGACATGAGCTAAAAGTCGCATTGTTTACTGGTTGCAGAGGGCCAGACTGATAGGAGAATGCGAAGACAATACGCGACTTATCACCACGAAATGAGCTAAAAGTCGCATTGTTTACTGGTTGCAGAGGGCCAGACTGATAGGAGAATGTGGAGACAATACGCGACTTATCACCACGAAATGAGCTAAAAGTCGCATTGTTTACTGGTCCCAGAGGGACAGACTGATAGGAGAATGCGCAGACAATACGCGACTTATCACCACGACATGAGCTAAAAGTCGCATTGTTTACTGGTTGCAGAGGGCCAGACTGATAGGAGAATGCGCAGACAATACGCGACTTATCACCACGAAATGAGCTAAAAGTCGCATTGTTTACTGGTCCCAGAGGGCCGACTGGCTGACTGATCGACCGACTGGCTGATTCATACTGACTGACTGTCACTTGTCATCTTGGCAGTGCTATCATATAGGATTACTCCGCTCTGCCAATGAGTGGGTTCAATTTTCTGCCATTGTGTAGGCCAGATGTATGAAGTGAATTCCAGTGAATAAACATTCTGAATCAATGGAATAAAATTGTGCACACTTGGACCTGCTCTACAAAGCCTACCTCGTCTTGTTTTTAAAAATTGAGATATTGATAATTCTGGAGAACAAGAGCTTTCCAAAGGTATACCTTTTCGGGTACTGAGTTCAGCGACAGAATACTTAAGAAGAGCAGGCTTAATAGCACTTGGAGGCTTAGGATCTTTGTTTTTTTTCCCAAAATGGTGGTGGAAAGTATGTTAAATTGTTGCGATAGCACCATGTGGCAAAATCTCTTTTATGAGTATGTGTGATCTGTAAAGAACTGTAGGGTTACTAACAAAACTAGATTCTAAAATGTTAGATGGAACCAGAATTTTATTTGCTTACCCAACTCCACTGAACAGGATTGGCAGGGACCTCTTTGTGCCGACCATTGTTGGCGATGCAATCAGATTGGCTGGATCGGCGACAACAAGTGTGTGCTGTCAACGAGGGTAAACAAAAACATGTTTTAAAACTAGTACCAACAAGCAATCGCTCTGTTTCACCTAAAAATACCCATGAATCCTTTAACCCTACCCACCTTAACTCCATCCCCCCATTTTGATGCATTTTGGGGGACTTGGTCCAGAAGGCCTGGCGTGACTAAATATTGATGGAGTATGGACTTGGCCCTCATGGCCTGAAGCAGTGCTAGGGGTATCCGATTGAATTTGCCTAGCTTCCTGTACTGCTATTGTGATAAAAGCCATGTGTAGCAAGTCCATGAACGTCAACCAGTGCGTCAGTGGTGGATTCCATTATGTCATGTACAGTTTAGTATTGGAAGCACAGTGATTGATGGATTTTGATGGACTTGGTCCAGTTCCTAGTTAAAGACGTTAGGGAGTTTAGGGTCAATAAGAAACCACCACCTGACCACTGTGATAGGTTTGCCCACACCAAGCCAGCACTGTCCGACACCTACCAGTCCTTCGTCGCTGACGTCGTAGCTGAGATGGTCAATGACGGCCGTCCCCTCCTCGTCAAAATCAACTCCACATTCTGTACCGAGCTCTCTGATTGGTTCACCTGATGGCCACAAAGTAGCAAAAACAAAACAAAACGCACCATTGAAAATGGTCAAATGTACACGAAATGAGGTACAAAACACTGTAGTGATAAATAAGCAACAGATGCGAGCAATGCAATGTTCTTGCAACACAATGCAGGGTTCCCAGCTCTTCAAGAAAACAAAATTCCCCGAGTTCTCCCGGACATTTCCCTGAGAAATTTCGAAAATTCCAAGAGAAATGTTTTCACTTTAACGAGGTCGCTGAAAATTCAAGAGGTGGTTGCAGCAAATCAACTCAGATACTCTTAAGCAACTTGTTGACCATCAATGGCCTCTCATCTCACTGTATAGCCATCCTTTGCTCCCCATGCGCAACAGAGACGCACATATGTGACCAGCTCCACAAAAAAGGGTATTAAGTCGCTCTGAGCATTATTGTGAAATGGCCTGCTCAACATTGAGCGGGTGAACATTTTGTCAAACTGTGATTTTCATTTTTTGTCATGAATGACATCTCTGATACCTACAGTTTCAGGTTTCATTCACAGAAATGTTATTTTTGGTGAAAAAAGTGAGGAAAACAACGATTTTTTGTGCATCGCTCTGTTGTTCTACAACTAAGTCATCTATTTCAAAGCCTGTTTTCTCAGTTGTGTAATTTGAACTCCAAGGAAGTAATTAATATGCAAATACATCATATCTCCAGAACGGGAGGGGCTATGGAGCTCTATTATATACCAAATGAAAGCTTACATTGTGGGCTTTCCAACCATGTATATAACTCAATTTCAGTTGGGAAAGAGGTTTAAACAGGCAGTGCAATTTCTATCATCCTAACTTCCAAAACATTTTCAAATTTTGTTTACAAAAGTTTCCCCCCAGTTATATTAACCCTAACTCCCTAGGGGGTATGCAAAATCAGATTGAAATTGGAGGATTCAGGACTGTTAGGGCTATCAGTCAAATTTGTAAGATAAATCCCTGCACTAATTATGACATGTTTCGCTTTGAAAACTGAAAAGTCTGAATACTTGGACCAAAAAATGATGTACCTATATCTGAGTTTGCAGCAACCAGAACGTTTCCACCAGAATCAATGAACTCTGTAATAGATCCTTCTGCAATCTGACCTCCGAACTCTGTGGATGAATAAGAAATGTTGTAAGATAATTGTGTGTTCTAATCAATGGAAAGGGAGTCAATGCAGCGATAGGGGCGGGGGTGATCTGTTGGTTACTCGGTTTAAATTTCTTTGTTGGTTTGGTTACACTTGAATGGTTTTAAGGTTTTAAGGCCTTTTATCTATTTTTGACGGTTTATCTTAGAATTTTTAATACATTTTTTTTTTCGCTGTAAAATTGTATGTGTAAATCTTGTTTAATCATTATAACTGTATTTTTAAGTGTTCTGTTTTGGAGCTTTCATCAATGTTTAGACATGTAAATTTTCCATTTTTATCTTTTAAATGGACAATAAATGGATTGAATTGAAATAATAAAAAATCTTCAGTACACTTGCTCAACAATTTAAAGGTAATTGGCCTATACAACATTTGCACCCAATAAAAAAAGAAAGAAAACCACCAAATTATCATGGCACCTGGAGTAGTGTCATTTTCAAGGAAAGTGGATTTTTTTGGTATTAATAGTGTGTTTTGGGTAAGAAACTGATTTTTCCCCTTCAAATACTGCCCCCACTGTATCACATATGGTTAGTGCAAGCCAGCTAGTCTGGTTCCCTGACCTAACAATTTCCAGATGTCCATAAATTGCTGTGTTTCGTCAGTGGAAATATATCAGATTTTAAATTCCCACAGCGATTGAAGCACTTTTGGTAGCACAATATGATAAACATGTGAATTTGATTGCTAATGTTGAGGAATTTGAATCTCGGTGAGAAATTTGTTTTGTCTCCCAGTCCCAAACTATATATTCTCAATTGTTTGAAATCCAATCCTACTTTTTATTGTAAGATGGAATTTTTGCATCGGGGTGATATAAATCAAATTAGGTTTTGCCCTTCACCGACGTTTGAACACTGTATACTCGCCGTACTCGGTGTGTTACCTCCCAAGTGAAAGTTGGAAAAAATTACTCGGGTGGGACTCGAACCAGCGACCTCCTGCTTTCTAGTGCAGATGTCTTACCACTCGACCACCGAGCTAACGGGATCGGCTGGCTGGTTCGAATCTGATGTACATAGCAGCGGGTACCGCATAGACTATTATAAGATGGAATTTTGCGTCGGGGTGATATAAATCAAATTAGGTTTTGCCCTACTTTTTATTGAAGTAGATTTTATTTTTCCTTCTGATTAACGGCTCTAGAGGATTGTTTTTAAGGGTAAGTAAAGTCCCAGAACCATTCAGTTGGTAACTGACACATGCTTGCAATAATCGAGTTCCAGTTAAAAAGCAACAGCGCAGTATTCATAGGTACATTGTACTCACCTTCTACTGATGGGCAGAACAGCACTAAATGTTCGTATATATACTCTCCATAATTTGCAAGCTTCAGACCTGGGTCATCTGCTGTTTTAAAGGTTAAATCAAACCCACGATCTGAAAAAGAAAAGTATTGCAACTCTTTTAGACTTTAGGTGCATCTTGGATGGAGGTAATATATTCGTTAAAATACAAACTTGTTTTTGTCACTTGAGAGTTGGATTTGGTCAGGCGGGGATTTATGAGAATGGGATGGAGGGAGATGGGATGGAGGGATGGGGAGAAGGAGGGGCTAGGTTTTCTATCAGGGTGTATTTAATTTTAAGTGGATGTGGGCCTACAAGTAACATCGGTCTGTTTTTATTACACTGGCATTTAGGGATGTGACTGACAGGTCATTAATAACCAACCATAATAAAAATTTTGATCATTTTTTTACATTAAAAATTGAAGCTAATTCCTTGCTTGAAAGTACAGATCCCCACATTACTGGTGAGGTGAAAAATCAAAAAAAAAAAAAGTTGTATGCAGTGGCTATCAATTTGTAACTGCTAATTAATACAACATTGCAAAAATACAATTGCGAATCAATATCAAATTTATAATATAACTGCCCTTTCAACCAGAGCGCTTTGGTAGCTTGATTGGTAAAACTTCGGAAGGAAAGAATCCAGAGGCCATTTCTATGCTTTGGTTGTGTACAAAGTCTATGGTGGGTCGAGTGCATTTTCAAAGTAGGCCCTATTTTCTAACAAAATTGGAAATGTTTCTCAGTGCAAGATTCATGTCTTATTCCTCCATGCAATGACGGACCTTTATTGAAATAATTTATAGGCCTACGCCTATCCCATGAAAAAAAGGTGACAGGACAGGATGCAATATTCAGAAATATTAATTCCATACCTGGACATCACTAGACACCCTGTCCACAAATGAGAGTGGTCTGAAAAAATCTAACTAGCCTACTATTTTCTCAGTATATTTAGTACGCTTCAAGTTCAATATTTTCCCTACTAAATTTGACTTTTTAGGACATGTTATCGCTTTCTGATCATTAGTTGATAGGTTATTGCAGGAATAAAAATAGTAGGACTAACGGCCATATATGGATTCTTTTTCCGTAAAAATATTATAATATTGTTAATTTATAAATAATAAAAATAAAGAAAATGTAAAAAAAAAATCACGAATTAGATTATGCATAAACTATCGTGCGGACGACACTAAAAAAGCAGGGCTCGATTGAGCTCAAAACACTTTACCTTGCAGTGAATTGAAGAATATTGAGTGAGATTCTTTTATGCCCGGTGAATCCAGTAAAACCAATGTTTTCCCTCCACCCTGTACGGTGGAAATAATCGCCAAAACACTGCACAAAACAAGTGCCACGCCGATCGCCATGTTGAAAAATTCGCGAGAGGAGGAATATTTGGCAAGATGACAGTGATGAGTCAAAAGTGCCGGTCGGTGGTGTAGTTCTGAATTATGATTTCTCAGATATTCTTTTCAAAATAATGGAAAAAATTGCACTCTGGATTTAAATAAATAATTAAAAGTCAATTGTTTAAGTACTTTGTCCTTTTCAACTATTATTTTGGAAAGTAAACATGGAATAAGAACTATTTTATTTGACGTGAAAACACCCGCGTATTCTGATTTAACCAATCAGTAATGGCCAACGTGGAATTTTATTCAGTAGCATTGTATGGCAAACTCTGTGCAGACGACAACATTCTTTTTAGTTGAAATGATGATAAATCCTCCATTGCGGCGATGTTTTTTTTTTATTCTATTGCAATTTGGGAAGGATTTCGAGGTTAACAACAAATCAACCTTAATTGAATATGCATTAAAATCAAAGGAAACACAAACAACTATCAAGGAAGACTAAACCATTTCCTGTAAAGAATATGACCTTTGCCCTCTTGCAAACTTTGACCTTCCGGATCTTACAAACAGTATGGTGCCCGCGTATACTGAAGCGCATACATATACGAATCGTTCAGGATCTCAGACTTCTGTGTAGGCGCTGCTGTCTGTGCTGATGTTGTTTTCTTGTCAAAACTGGTGAAAAACAAACTCGTATTTTGGTGTTATTTTGGAGGCATTTTCCGCTGTCGAAATGACGTTCGACACGCCGAATCTGACGTACATGGCCCTGTACCTGGTGGGGGCAAGCATGGTGGCGTCGACACCCCGGTCTGCCACCCACTGGAAGCTCCAGAAGGGCGCGGACGGTGTGGTGCTGGTTCAGCCGAGTCTGGCCGAGGACGCGGCCAAGGTTGCGAGCGAGGACCCCGTACTAACGATTCTGACACAGCAGAAGAATTACGACGAATTTAACAGCGACGAAGACGGGAACGGGGGAGATGGGTTGCATCAAGAAGGAGAATGTGTATCGTGTGAGAAAATGGCTGGAATGGAACGACCAAAATTTCAACAGTAAGTTGTGAAAAAGTACATTTATTTCCTTACTCATTTTTGACAAATCACATTTCATTTTTGTGAATATACAACAACTAAATACATTGTTGAAGTAATACCGGTTAAGTCTTAAGATTCCATAAATCTTTCCAATGTTTTTCATATTTTGTTTTAAGGTTTTTAACATTGTTTATCAGATTATAAAGACTTAACCATGTTATTGTTAGCTTTATTTATGCCTAAATTGGCTCCACCACATTATGATGAGGAAAAGAATTTTTGTTCTAGATTTTGCCTTATTTTGACTTGGTTTATTTGTTGAAACTTCTTGTGCTTAACATAGAAGGGAATGAGGACTTATTTGTATTACTGTTACTTATGGAATAAACTGACACACATGTAAAAAGAAATTTTGGCCAATACATTCAAAATAATTTTTGGCCAAAACAGTCTCTGACAGCTGACAGGCAGTGACAGGGTAGCACAGGAAACGGTATGAACATAATTGAAGTATACGCTCAAATTAGGTTTTGCCCTTCACCGACGTTTTTTAAACACTGTATATATACAGTGTGTTACCTCCCGAGTGAAAGTTGGAAAAAATCACTCGGGTGGGACTCGAACCCACGACCTCCTGCTTTCTAGTGCAGATGTCTTACCACTCGACCACCGAGCTAACGGGATCGGTTGGGCGGTTCGAATCTGATGTACATAGCAGCGGGTACCGCATAAACTATTATAAGATGGAATTTTGCATCGGGGTGATATAAATCAAATTAGGTTTTGCCCTTCACCGACGTTTTTTAAACACTGTATACTCAGTGTGTTACCTCCCGAGTTGAAATTGGAGTATACGCTGTCATGAAAAACGATATGACGTTTTGTCGTACAGAGTATGGTGATTTGGTTAAGTTTATGTTAAATTATCCATGAAACATTCCTGCATGAAACAGTAAGGATTTTAGGTTGAATGCTTTTATTATTACTTTGTTCCATCCTGCAGAGTTAAAAACAAGAATTTAGATCCACTGGAGTGCACCAAACATGTGAATAAAACGGCGTACGATTCATTATCTGGCATCATCGATCGAGCGAAACATCCAAGCATCCCAGAACCAGAGGTTGCGCTAATTTTCAAAAGAAGTGACAGTGATCAGGTTGATATGTCGGCTCTGGAAACGTCACTCAGAGACAGGATCACAGAGGTGTGAAAAAGTTATCATTAATTATCAGATTATATATATGACTATGAATGTGATTCATAGTTATCTGGCCTATGTTAACTTGTGCAATACCTTGAATGTTTGTGAATGGAGATCATGACAAAACTATTAAAAAAAAAAGGGCAATAATTTTGCTCCCCAACCGGTCGCCCCCGCATGAATCTTGAACAGGTTTCTTCATTTTGAATATTAAACAAATTTGTATTACTTTGTTTTTATCTGCAGTATTTTATTAAGCCGAAAAAATTATGCATTAGAACCCCACCACCTATCAAAAGTGGGGGTGTTGGGGGAGGGGGGGGGGTCTAACACACCCCACACCCCCCCCCCCCCCATCTGTAAACAAATAGGAAAGGTTTGCAGAAGAAATAGCAAATATCCGTTAACACTCCTACCCCGTTTACAGCTAAACCCTGGTTTTGAGCCAAGCCTGGATCCGCCCCTGTTCCCGAATATTGAAGAGCCACTTCCTGTTATACCTTTCGTTGTGTTGGCTAGTTACATCAAATTGTCAATATAAAGATTTCTTCACGTCTAAAATTTCTCCACTGAATCGTCACCACCTTTTGTTCAGACTAAAAAACTTTCATGTTGATGCCTCTCTTCATGAAGTACATGTCCTTTTAGCTTGGAAAGCTTATAAATGCAAACTTCTACTCTTGTTTAGCTTTTTGAGTGCTACCTTACATTTCCAGAGTATAAACACACCTGCCCTCCAATTAAGATTTCCTGATACAAGTTCATTTATTATCTTTCAAAGACTCCCAGCTCTCTGGCCGTCCTGAACCAAGTGGGCAACTTCTGGCGCATCAAGGGCAACACCTTGCTGGCCATCGAGTGCTTCCGCAAGGCCTTGTCCATCTCGCCGACCAACCCGGACATCCTGCTGAACCTGGCCCGGGTGCTGTTCAACATGCAGCGGCTGCCCGACGCGCTCTTCCTGACGCAGAAGTCACTGCAGCACAAGGGTGCCGACCAGAACGCCTGGCTGCAGCACTTCACGCTTGGGGAGGTCCACAAGGTAATGATATGAATCCACCTTGTGCTGTGATTATTTTTAAAAATAATTTAGTATTTGATTATTTGAACTTGGATTTGACTGGATATGGAAATAATCAAATTATTACGTATGCCAGCCTTTATTGTGTGCAACTTCAGGAATTAAATGGGCTTGCACCTGTCGAAAAACTGGCATTGAGCTTAATAACATATTAAGATTATCAGGTATGAACAAAGTATTATATAATACGTAGCTGACTACATGACGTTTGACAGATACATGCAAGTATTAGACTTCTTTTTCTCACAGAAACTCTCAAATCATTATCATGTCATGGAATTTTTTCTAGAGGGGCGCAAAGCCCATTTTTTTCCTCAAAATCCCTATATTTTCCAACATTTTATTGATTGATAATTTTTTTTGCCCCGTGGTTACGTCCGTGGTCCGTGTATGTGAAGTGATTTTTGATACGAATATGGCATTTGCCCAGCAATAAACTAAGCAACTTATTCACTAACATCACTAATTTTTTATCATCTTCCAGAGATGGCTCACGTTTTTCAAATATATTTTAATCAGAAAAATAATATTTTAAATATTTGATGCGTGATCCTATCGTAGTACAGCACAGCCGTATTAAAAGGGGGAAGCTTATCAAAGCTAATTGCGATTAGTTCTCATTTGAATGAAACTGTTAAATGTGTCTGTGTCACATCATCTATACCACAAGGCCATGGGCAACTACCAGGAGGCCGGGGCTTTCTTCCGTCTCTCGCTAGACCTCAACCCGACCTTCCAGCCGGCCGAGGCCCACCTCCGGGAGCTCGAGCAGCCCTTCACGGCCGCCACCAACGCCACGCTCTACACCATCCTCATCATCGGGGTGCTGATATTCGGGGTCTGCGTGGTCCTGTACTATGTGACCGAGGCCTACCTGAAGGACAGCGGCAACCAGCACCCGCGCCGGTCGCCCAAACTCGCGGTGCCGTGGGACCGGGTTCGATTCCCCATCCCCCCGCGACTTGTGAAGAACAAGAGAGGTGGAACCTGCTAAATTTTTAAAGAGAACGTGTGGTGAACCTGGGTACTTTATTTAAAAAGCTGTCGTAGATACAAAGAGGGTCATGGAGGCAAGGAAATGGAGTTGATGAGGAAAAGAGTTGAAATATTTCTCTACAAATGGAAAAGACCAGTATTATCATTGTAGACTGTTATTTTTACAAAACCTGTTTAAGTCAACACAAAATCTAAGCTTAAAAAATTACACAGAAATTGTGTGGATTACAGTCCTCAATCCTCAAATATATTAAAAACTGAGTTTTTTATTCACACACACTAGGGAGGTTAAGGTGGTAACAAAATGTTGAGAATAAAAAAACAGCTTTCCGGACTTTAGCGGATGATTTCCATTTCATGTTCTTGTCAAATGCTGTGACAAGTCGATTCTAAAAAGCGACCTTTCTTCCCATTTATGCTCATTTAAGGAATGAGTACGCTTGACATGCCCCATTTAAAGGCACAATTATGATGCTAGACTATTAACAAGTTAATATTTATTTATCAGCTGAGTTTCAGTAAATCTAGTGAAAAATTTGACCATCTGGGAAGAATGTTGCATCCTTGTCCTTTTTTTCCCCATAATATATGATCTTAATGAAGGTCAGTCATTGCAAAAATGTTGAAAAGACATTACTGGGACTGAGAAACATTTACATCTTTGTTAGAAATTTTTTTGAAAATGTTCTTGACTCTCCATAGACTTTGTACACAACCGCTAAAGTGGCGTCTGGATACTACATTCTCTCCGCAACCATTCTGTCAAACTTATAAGCCACAGATCCATGTACCGGTATTCACATTCAATTTTTGTATCAACTTGAAGCTTGAAACAACTGGATTATTGGTTCAGTAAGAGTTTTGTCTCGTGATGTAACTGAAGTGGAAATCATCCGTTAAATTGGTTTTTACTTCCAAAAAACCCCCATAAAATACCTCAGGAAACTCTTTAAGATCAAAGCTTAACACGCAGGTGTACTCTACATTTGTTGTGAGAAATCTCAATCTGGTCTTTGTAAATGATTTATAGGGAAAGAAAAATGGTTTTAATTTTTCACCCAATGTCTTCAGTTTTATTTACTGAAATAAACAAAACTATTTTACAAATGCGACACATTTCGTTTGTGTGAATTTTGTTATGAACTTGGTTTTGTAAGATTTAATGCCAACTTTATTTATTTCCAGTTGGGGGGGGGGGGGACTGAAGGCGCGAACTTTAGCCCCGGCCCCGTAGCTACGCCGCTGGTACAAACGTTAGGTTCTTGAGTGTAACCATTCTCACCCTCCCCCTGAGCTACAGTAAAGGCCAAACGTAAACAAAAATGTAAACAAATCGTTAAAACCCCCTATTTTTACTTATTCGACTAAGACCAAGATAAACCACGTGTTTCCTTATAGGCCTATAGTTTTACCCCAACCAACCTAGAAAATCATGCAGTAGGCCTACCTAAAAACAGTTGTAATTAAAAAACAAGTGCCACCATGCCTAGTTGGCGCGGACATCGTCCTACATTTAAAAAACATAAAATAATGTTGAATATTATGTAAACAACAGTAGAGAAATAAGCACCATATATTATACTTTGGTCATAAAATATATGTAATTATAATACCGTAATACATTCATTTTTTTTCATTATTTTTAATAGTTAATTTTTTTTATTTATACGGTCGCAAACATTATTGTAATTGTAATGTCTCCCGTGTAAAAACTGTAAGTATAGATGCATCTTTACTATATAGGGTGAGTAAAAAAAATAAGGAACTCAAACGGTTCTGCATGTCGCACTATCAAAATCTAGGATATGAAAGCCCAATTAATGAGCTTTCTTTTAGTACAAGAATCATTCAAATCACTCGTGTACTTTTCAAGTTATGGAATTTTGAACACAACCATGAAGTTCTGTCCACGGATCACAAAAAAAGGTGTGTATTCTTTCAGCGAAACGAAAACAATCCATGGGCCCTATGTGAATTGTTCTCGTTTTGCTGAAAGAACATTTACCTTTTTTGTGATCCGTGGACAGAACTTTAAACGGTGGTTGTGTTTAAAATTCCGCAACTGGAAAAGTACAGAGTGATTTGAATGATTCTTGTATAAAAGAAAGCCTATGGATTTGGGTTTTCATGTCCTAGATTTTGATAGTGCTACATGCAGAACTTCATTACAAAATTGGTCCTGCCATTTGAGTTTTTTATTTTACTCGCCCTGTACTGAAGGTCTACCGTTAGGGATGGAAACCTCCAAACTGTTTTAATGTATGGATATAGTTTTTAGATTTGATTTAATTTCAGGAGAGTCCTACAAAAAAATCACATCATTGGTGATTCGCTGATTCCAGTCGCTTTGCTGATCTTCATGATTTTCCCCGCCCAGGCTTTGTCCAGGACAAGGGTCAGGAAAGCGTCCGTGACCTCTGACACCCTGACAAGAAAACACAGGTGTAAAATTTAAGATCAAGATAAACAACAAAACGGCACAAGCTAATTTTGTAGTTGCCAAAACTTATCGAAATTCAAATTTAGGCGTTAGTAGATAATGAATACATGTATATTTCACTTTCAATGAATTTAGTTTGTAAATTTGCTAAGAAGTTTATTTGGGAAAATTTTCACCTTAACGACAAATTTCTCGATTTTTTTTTTAATTCCTGTTTAGTTTGTAAATTTGCTAAGAAGTTTATTTGGGAAAATTTTCACCTTAACGACAAATTTCTCGATTTTTTTTTAAATTCCCGAGGCCTGAGGATTGAGAACCGAAAAAACCTTGAAGTTAATGATTCCGTCAGATTTTTGTCCGATTCCCACATTCTCGGAAAATAGTATTTGATGTCCTCTCCAATGAGCACAAAATCCCATATTTTAAAAATTGGTCCAAGTGACTGATTTTTTTTGCTAGAGTAGAGGATCACATAATTTTTATTAATTATGTAAAAAGATTCTTTAAGCACCATAGAGCCATGTTGCAATTGCTTGTAGTTTAGTGGTTATCACTGACCGCCGGGTATCGGTGAAAAGAGACACAATGCAACTGTGAACAATAATAGATATTTCTTTGCCGGGCCCGTGTGGTTGTTAAACTCTGAAAGGTCAACATCGAAAAAAAATATAGAACTATGATGTTTCCAAACATTGAATTATTGAAAATACAAAATAACAATATAAACGATACCAATGACGTAATAAAAAGGCCTCTTTCTTACACAATGAGGGTGTTAATAATGCAATTTTGGCAAAATCTGTTGCCAACCATGGCTTAATGTATGCCCCCGTGGCAGCCCATACAAAATGGCGTTCGATGTAAACATAAACACGAAAAAAGAAAAGTCTTTGGATAAACTTACTTGAGCACGCCGACCTTGTTTACGGTGCCAAGTGCGATCGGTCGGTCTGCCTCGCAGCGTAGAATGACACGCTCTTCCTGGATCATGTTGGTATCTACAAAGGCTGGACACAGAGCCCCAATGGTGATGCCCTTCGCCTTGGTGAAAGGATGCGCCTACGAGAGGCAGACAGAGAGAGAGAGAGAGATTATAGATTTTTTTTTGAAGTTGAACAAAGAAATTGACAGGAGCAGGGGTTTGAACCTGCGACCTCCGGATTGCCGTTCAGGTGCTCTAACTGAGCCAACCAGTCCTATATTGGCGGCGCGTAATGTCTTTATTCAAGGGGCGGTGGCCACAAGCCATAAACCCGTCATGTAGCCAGGGATCACGCCCAAAGTCACGATGCTAGCAATATTAGCAATGTTGTAAACCTGGGAAATAGCAAGCAAATTATAAACCACATAGTAAAAACTGACAATGTGCATATAAAATGCATCTCTTTGTGGTTCACGCGCACATGATAGGCGAAAAATTTGCTTTCGCGTCGTCCCGGCTTTTTGAAAAAGTTTTTCATTCGAGTTCACCGTTCTAATATTCACATTCGTCCATCAACATCGATTTAGTGCACTTCCAATGTTTAATTTCGTCTTTTGTCAGACAATTTCAAATTCAGTTCAAGCAAATTCAAACAATGAGCACATCACGTTTTCAACCATACCATATTTTCAATGGGGAGCGCTGATGAAATCCTCCAATCATGCACACTATATTAACTAATAGTAAATCAGTCTGTGGGGCTAAAGCCTCCCCTCCCCGTAGAACCACGCCTGTTATATCGCCTTCCAAAACTTCAACAAACCGAATGCGTTCGTAGGATGCTTATAGTCAACACTGAAATGTCTCCTTAATTCCAAAGAAAATTAACAAGCAAAAAAGTTACCATGATAGATTTTGTCAAGCCGATGACTGCGTGTTTGGAGGCGGCATACGTTGGCATGTATGGAATAGGCGCAAGACCTGCAAAGGGAAAGACAAAATCTGAGTACAACTTTGTTTTTCGTGAAGAAGAAGTGTGACAAACTTCGTAAATTGTTTTGGACATAAAGAGTGCAATTTTCGAAATCGTGACACTGAGCTGAAGCTTAATCAATAGTAGGTTTTGCCCTTCACCGACGTATAAACACGGTATACTCACTTTAATTGCGGTACCCGCTGCTAAATATACATCAGATTCGAACCAGCCAACCGATCCCGCAAGCTCGGTGGTCGAGTAGGAAGACGTCTGCACTAGAAAGCAGGAGGTCGTGGGTTCGAGTCCCACCCGAGTGATTTTTTCCAACTTTCACTCGGGAGGTAACACACTGAGTAAACACTGTTTATACGTTGGTGAAGGGCAAAACCTAATATTGATTTACATCACCCCGACGCAAAATTCCATCTTATGAGGAGCTGAAGCTTAATGCTGAACATTCTTTGGATTTCTGGGATTATACTTCCTCATGCATAATACCCCATCCTATACCGAAAAAAAAATAAGATGCAGGCAGTAGTGTCCAATTTGACATCGAATTGACTCGGAATAAGTAAATCCACCGTCTCTGACTAAACTGTCGGGAGTTCCGACGACTATTGTATGTATACAAACCCGCAATAGACGCCATGTTGATGATGGTGCCCCCTTGACCGCCTTCGTCCAGGCTCATGTGTTTCAGCGCAGTGTAGGTAGCCGATAACGTTCCCGTCTGGAAAAAGAAAAGCCAACAGTCATTTCTTGCCTAACTGCTTGTTAATAAAAATCGTCAACATTTTTGTTGAAATTCTCAGTGAACAGAACCGTAATTGCCGTCCAATAATAAAGGGGAAACGGTAGCTGGAAACCATGGTTTCCAGGGCATTGTAGACAAAGGAAATGAGGGTCAGAGACTGCACACCAGAGATAAGCATTTTTATCAACCAGACCAGAAACATTACAATGCACATTGACCAATCAGATCACGATCTTTCGATCAGGTGACCACGGTAGCTCGGTCAAACTCGGTCACAAAGTCTGTGAGAAAATGTACACAAACCAAAGGTGGGCGGGGCTTCAATATGGCCAAATCTGGAAAGGACCATTAGTAGTAATGCAACTGGCAATTGTTTCCCCTACCTCTCTCCCGCGGGCTGTGACCCAACCAAGACGTAAGGATTGTCACTTTTGAAGTGACAAAATCCCCACCCCTCGGGCAAAAAAAGTGACAATCCCCGACCATGGCCCGACATATTATTACGTGGGCCCGGGCGCACGAGTGATTGCCTTTCCATGTAGTTCGCCAATGTTAACAACCACAATGTAGTGTGAGTGACCAATATCCCCAACCTGGGGCATGAAAAACGTGACCAAATCCCGACATCGGACCTGGGGCATTTGGGGTGGGGGTGGGTGGGTGCGGAAAACATTTGAAAGGCGCATAAGTGACATTTATAAAGACGACGAAAAGACAATTTTTTGATGTCGATGAAAGAACAGTCAATGTTGAGGTATATGAGGCATAGTTTTTGTCAACAGTATTTCTGTACACTTTGGGATTTAGAAACTTCGTACGGCGCGTTCTGAAAAATGACTTCATGTTGCTCCTTGCGGGTTGTGGGTCAGTGTACGCAGTGTCACGCATTTCCGTGTAGGAAAAAAAACTACCTCGCTCTTGATGTTTCACCATTCTTATGGTTTCGGGGAAAAATCGAAATGTGAACAATACATATTCTCAAACGTGTGGACTAAAATAAATGATCCTTTATTTATTAGTTTTACATGCGGTATTGGTTTCACAGTGGTATTATAAAGCTGTGGCAAGAACGTGTCATTCATGCGATAAGAATGCATATACAATCGAAACCACAACAAGCGGATATGTTGGTTTTAGTCGCTTGTTTAAAATTGGTTTTCAGGGAATTTCACCCGGAGTTCTATTCATTTTCCCGTAAAGCCCATTTTCTTGTAAATATGTTTTCACCACAGTCTGTGGACCAAGTTATCTTCGTTAAAACAACAGCGATATAAAGTTGCCAGCTTCCTTCGCCCAATAAATCTGTACAATAATATGTATTTCTTTAAATAGACAATTTTCCTTAGTCAGATTTGTATGCACAATGTTTAAACTTTTTATAATATTGTATTTAATGTCATTTTTTAATTATAAACAAACACGGTAGGCCTTTTACCTTTTAAAAATGTACTTTTTAATGTAAATCACGTGCAATTCAGCTGTGGCTGCTATTCGTGATTAATAAACCATGTTGAATTGAATTGAATTGAATTGGAAATAGAAGGGCCCTAAAATCTCTTTCTCCTGTTTTCTCAAAATTTCTTCAAGAAATCCATTTCGAGTTTTGAACCATTACTCCAGGAATACTTGCCACGTTGACATTGACGCACATCCGCCAGTTCTTCTCGTCCTGCACCCCAGCGTTATTCACCACTAGGTTGACTGTGCCAAAGACTTCCTTAGTTTTGGCAAATACGGCTGGAAATTATTGAAAATGGAAAAAAAAATGTGTACTTTAAGTGGTATTTCAGTGTCCGCTTTCAAATCCTTGACCCGGGGTTCGAATCCCACCGAAACCGCTATCAAAGTGTGATGTTCTGTTGTTTCTGCCTGATTCCGTAATTTTTTTTTCTCCAGGAAGCGTAGGCCTATAGCCTAAAGGCTCAAGATCCACAAGGGAGGCAAAAAAGCTACTTTTTTTCCTGAGAATAAAATGAAGAGCAAAACCTACCATTGAAAATAAGATGGCTAGGCCTATACATGTTTAATTTTAGGTCGTAAAACATTGAGTGAATAACGGTTGAAATATAAAAAAGCGGAAAAATACAGGCTCCGGGCTTTGGGCACACATCAAAATCTTAACAACTTATTTCTCTTGGGTTCTTAAGGCTTCCAAATTACACTTCCTAATAACGTTTGAGAAACCCCCAAGAAGCATTACCACTTTAAAATGGTGTTTATTTGTCGTACATGTTTCAAACAACTTCAATGTAATGTAAGCGACGCATAATAAGGTTACCTTCTAGGTCGGCCTCTAACGTGATGTCACATTTGACAAAGACCACCTTCTCTTCTCCGTATTTCTGAAACTCCTTTGCCGTTTCCTTCCCCTTCGTTTCGTTGATGTCGGCTATGCAAACACCCTTTAGAATTAGAAACATAGGAAATGTAATCGTAGAGTGGAAATATATTTACATTTCGATAAACCAGATTTGCACATATAGATTTTATGGTTGTTATAGGAATCTCCTTGGATCCAGAGTGCGGTCGAAATATTTTTGCGAACTTTTACGATAAGCCATGCATGATACTCAGTTTTAGCTAGATACGAGGCGAGTGGGAATTGTTCGTGCTGGTAAAGTATGCTGCTCAAGAACACAAGCACCTCAGTCAGCCCAGTCCCTGAACGGCACGGAACCGCAGAAGAACCTTAAATGCTGCGCGCAGCAGCGCCGAGATCACCCTCCCCGTCTTTTGAAAACTCCGGGCACGCTATATCATTTCTATCAAAAAGGCACCCTTGTGCTAGCTATTGTTGAGTTTATGGGGCAGTTGCTTTGTACAATAGCTCGCACAGTGGTTTCTCCATTGAAGGGGGCCTCGCGAGTGTGCAGTGATCACGTGCCCAGATTCGTCTATAGAGTTATATACGCAGCGTGCACAACCCACAGAGGGCGTCATTACAGTGGACATTATTACTTTTCTCGGACGGTCTTTACGTACCTTGACGCCTCTCTGCAGCATGACCTCAGCGAATGCCTTCCCGAGCCCCTCGGCAGAGCCCGTCACGATGGCCACGGTGTCCGGGTTGAAGTGAGCCGTGGCCAGGTCGAAAGCCTCCGTCTGCGTAGTCTCTGTGTTCGCCATATTTTATTTCCCGTTGGTGCTGCAGTGCTGATGGTTAACTTGACTTTAAAACATCATCGAAACATAATATTGGTGACTTTCTCGATACGTTTACTTTTCTATTGATGTTGAGCAAGATTTTACCCATTCGCCATATTGACATGAATAATTATGTCAGCCACAATATATACACTTTTCATTGGATTTAACCTCCTACTTTGATAAAATAAATCGAACACCGGCCAACTTAGGCATCGAATAAGTAAACTCAAATAGGTTAAGTAAGCTTTCTTGGTCCGAGACGCTCCGGTTAATGGTTTTTTTTTGGTCAAGAATAAGCAAAGACGCATCAGTCCAAAGACACTTCAACGTTTGAGCGATGATACTTTTGCTAGCTCCCGCCACGACCATTTATCAACGGAGCTCACATCGGTATGCCACAACAAAATACATCACTTCCACACACACCATTTTCTGACGTGTGAGTGAGCACATACAGAGTTGGATGTCGCTGTGACCGTGACTTGCGGGAAACAGCTGCAATGCAAGTTTACATCTGCGCTGCCCGATATAGCCATACTGTCACGACTATTCAACGTCAACATTCCTATATGATAATCCATTAAACATAGCAAAATGAGACATACTTGCGTGTGTGTACACGAATGTGCCTGGAATTTGTCGAAAAACATTCATCAAACGTAGAGTTTTAAAAACCAGAAAGCTGTATAATGACTCAATACAAGCACGCAGCTGCATAAATAGTCCCCATTTGCCTAGCGACGAGGCTTAATTTACGACTTCTCAAGTCGATAGGTCTATATTCGACCATTTTTATTCCTCCATGATTCGACAGGGAGTATTACTTCCTACTGCAAGCATGTTGTTTTCATAGGTTAACTTCTTCATTGGAAAATATGTTCCTTGCTCTTTGGTTGAAGAAATATGTGCATGACATGTATATTTTATAGGCTTACCGGTGATGACGTTGTGTACCCCGTATAAAGTTGCTGGTTTCTAGTCTATATCAGCGTAGTTTATCCGTATAAAGACTCATGCAATAAACTGGTGCAATTGCATTGGTTAGAACCAAACTATATGAAAACTATAAACCATGCCTCCCTACCTAGTCATATTCTAAAAACTCCTCAAGCGTTTCCAAATTAACTTTATGACCAGTGCGGGGCCTGGTGCGTAAGGTACACTACAAGTACAGTGAAAGCCGCAGGTACGCGAAATATGCCACCTTGGTTTGGAGTTTGGACTTGTCGGTAAACAGTGCGGCCACACCAAGCGGTCAGCACTATTGTTTGTTTCGAGGGTATAAATAGATTTTCTAATTTGATAAACAAATGTTGTCCGTTAATACTAGAGACGATTAACCACAGTCCTTAACGGCAACAATGATTTCTTGCTGCGACACAATAAACTCACCTTTCACAGAGTTTGTCTCTGCCTTTAAACTGCAGCAAGCAAGGAAGTTGAAAATGGGATGTGGCCCCAACCAGGTGACAGTGTTATGAACAATTGAGAGAGATTTGTGCGGGTGTGATTGTTGCGCAGCACACTAAATATTATTGTGGCATGTTTACTCGTGAATTCGCAATTTACAATAATCCCAGATACATTACATACTACACTGTTCTTTGTTTACGTACCTGACAATTGGTCACATGCAGAACGAGAATACCTACTCACGATTTCCAACGAAAGGGTGCGCTATATGCGACAATGAATGATCGCCGGGGAACACAATGATGTAGATATTCTTTTACCAGGAAACAGTTGGCTACTCGTGCTACTCTATATAATACTCGCAGTTCAGTGGTCTACTTTTATTATGGGTGGTTGCTTTTGCGTGGGTAGTGCGTTGGGTGGGAAGCAGGAACTTACACGTCCTTCCGTTTAACCGCAACAAACCTCTAGTGTTACACTTACCTGGTCTTTATAATTGCTCACTAAACACATGATGGAGAATGGAGAATTATACGCATCGTTGCAGAAAAGGATGTACATGTATATTTTTGTTTACCCCCCCCCCCTTGCGACCCAAGACCTGTACGCTAGCTGCTGCTGTTGTAAAGTTGTTGACACGGATCACGTTATTATGGCGTATTCACAGTTAGCAAAATATGTTTTCTTTGTGCGTTTTGTGTCTATTTAATCCTGTGACAAATCTCTGGTGTGGGTTCTTTACCCTAAAACAGAGCCGGGTTATTTCGACCATCTCACAGCCGGGGGGGGGGGCGGATTCCACGCAGCCGAACTTTTCTTTGCTGCGCGGTGACCCATGGTCCGATTTTTTTATGTTTTTGGTATCAAAGGATGCGCAAGACTCGAGGTTAAAAAGTCAGGAAAGCACGGGTCAGGAAAAAACTTGCAAGGGTATCGCGGAAAAAAAGTTGAGGGGCGGGGCGTATTCCGTCAGATTGCCAATTCTGGAGAGTTTCCCTTATTGTAAACGTCAGGCAAATATATCGCATAGGCGGGGGCGAGATTACGCGTCCAATGAAAACATCTATCATTTGCACACCAGTTTACATAGGTTGGTATATGCGTTTACCATTCAGCACTCCAGACTCACCGTTGAGTTAAAAAGAAAATGGGTCTGGGAGCTAGATAAGCCTGCCGTCCATGCAAGAAATGAGGTGCAAATCAGTCTGTTTGACTGTGTTGATAAGATAGTTTTGTGCAGCACGCAGATAACACTACGGAAATGTCTTTTTAAGTACTGTGGATTTTGGTGTGCATGCCAGCTTTCTGCCTATATAAAAAACCGTCTTTATAACTTGAAATCGATAAAATCGTGATAAAACAACGTAAGCTGTAGTCACACTCGAGCATAGACAAAAGACTTTATAAACATGTAGTGTAAGCATAGGGGGAGGGGAGGGGAGGGAGAGTTACCCCCCCCCCCCCGGCCCAGAAAAAAGGGGAAAAATACTAGGAAAATAACACATGCCTGCAAAAACCACTTTCAAAATGCAGGTATGGAGCTGGCACTATGGGGGGGGGGGGGGGGGGGGGTGCCTTATGTGTAATCTTGCGCACCATGGGGCAAACCTAAACGCATTAACGGAAATTAAACTTCAACCAATATTTTAATGAAATACAATCATCGTTTAATTTCATGATTACTATCGACCATTTATCACATCTTTCTTTTGGTAAAGCAGTGAACATGTAGTATGTTTTGATATAAACGGCCCATTTTGACAATTATCTAGCAGACTTTACGGCCGTACAATGAAGGGATGGGATTTGACTGTTCTTGTGAAATTAAAAATATACACTTGTAATTAGTCAACATAATATTTATGAGTACTGTTTATATATCTATATGTAATTATTATATAAATGTACACCGTTCTCATGGAATCAAACGAAATGGAACATAATAGTTTTTTTTCCCATGCTTATTACAAGAATACTGAACTCAAGTTGTACATGTACAACTTGTTATACAAAATCTACAAGCGACGTTCCAAAGAAGGTTTTTATATACTAGAAATGGTTAGTGCAGATTTTGATCGCTAATTGATAATTGTTGACAATTACACCAGCTGATAGCTTTTGCTTTACACTACTATGTGCTTAGCTCCCTTCGTATATAGCGAGCAGCGTGGCCACTCATCAATTTTGAAAATCCCAAAATGCGGACAGAATTCCCAAGATATCAGCATTATGTATCAAAAGAGCCGAGCACAGACCCTATTTTAATAATTTATGTGAATGGGTTCACAAACACCTCGTCCCCAGTGCTTACTTTATTTCCAACCTGGTTTCCAATAGTAAGCCTAATTCGATATTGCAATTGGCTAGTAATGGATTTTTATCCTGTACTTGGTGTTATTATTCACAACGTGCAGTACGTGTTTTCGCGATCATTCCTCCACGCCTTTTCGAAAAATACTTATTCCTTTCCAATTTGTTCATATTAATATGAAATGTGATACTGCATGTTGCCTCGAGAAGATCGTAACAGTTTAATTTTTAAAAAAATTGTGTTTTCGTAACTCACGCCGTGCTCGCACTGCGACGAATTCACTCTGTTTTTACCCCCGACACCGCATACAAAACAAACACTAATGTAACGCATATCCAGGCACCAGACTATTCCTCATTTGCATACGTGTTCAAAAATCTTGCACATGCAAATGATCCAATACCAGGGTGAGAGAGAAGGTAGTGATGGGCGCGTACTGTTCGACACCCTGGGGACGAAGTTGGTTCACAGAGTGCTTCAATTAACATTTTGCTCATGCGCAATCCATACTTTCGTGTGTTCTCAATACCCACATAAACTCCAAGGCGCAGTTAAACGTTCCCAAGCCCCGGCCTAATTTCCAAGATCTTGGGAAAATTCCCAAGGAGTAGCCATGCTTATGACAATGTCAAATGAATTTGGACAAAATTATAACGAGGGCATGCATCATTTTTTTTCTTGATTGGCTTTACAATGAACAGGACTGAGGTGGGTTTAAACGGTACATTGATTTGATTATCGAAATGATTACAGTATGAATAGGAAACATTCTATTAATTGAAAATCAGACACCTCAAATAAAAAAGAAAAAAACTGACGCACAACCAAATGTCTTACAAAAGCAAAGATGAGCAATAAAAATACCCTTAACCGTTCCACACATACCAAAAATAACCTTGACCCTTTCCGGATGTACCAAGAAATGAAAACAACCTATAAAAGTTTGTGTCATGCAAAAACTCCAACAATTTGGCCAGAAGCTCATTAACAAAACAAGTAGAAAACAACCAATGGGTAAATGTCAACATGTAAATTTATTTCGGTTTGCGTTAACACCATGTGGTAATAACTACTGCTTAGAAGATATTAGTTCTGAAAAGAACTTGTCCTGCTTATTATCAACTTTGCTAAGTAGTTTTTTGTTCTGATAAGAACAGTCCTTGTCTTTGGTCTCAACGTTTCGACTAGCCTGCTCTAGTCATCGTCAGGAGACAGTCTCCTGACGATGACTAGAGCAGGCTAGTCGAAACGTTGAGACTAGCCTGCTCTAGTCATCGTCAGGAGACAGTCTCCTGACGATGACTAGAGCAGGCTAGTCGAAACGTTGAGACCAAAGACAAGTTCGTTTAGAACTTACAGCAGGACTGTTCTTATCAGAACAAAAACTACTTAGCGAAAGTTGATAATAAGCAGGACAAGTTCTTTTCAGAACTAATATCTTCTAAGCAGTAGTTATTACCACATGGTGTTACCGCAAACCGAAACGATACCGATACCCCACCATGCAAAGCCTCAAATCTTATATGTAAATTTATGACAATATTTATGCATAATCTATGTAAATTATATGCACATAATAATTAGACACCAAAAAAAATTTAACATGATGCACAACAGTTTTTTTTTTTAGCTTCAGAGTAATTTTCAAAATACTGTTGAATTTTCAAAATGCCATCGCCAATAAACTGTGCAATTTTTCAAAGTACGCAAATTTACAAGACTTAAATGTGGAACCTTATTTTTAGGGTAGGTGACAGTACAATTTTACGTAAAATGCTTACTTGGTAGGCTTGTATTTTTTTCAGCAGGTTTGGTTTTGCCAGCAGCTGATAAGAACCACATATTCTGTCAATTGTGTAAAAGTGGTAATGGAGAAATAACAGAAATCTGGCATTCAATATTGATGCAGAAAATCCTTTCCTATGAAAACTGTACAGTGTGTGTCAATAAAAATGTAGCAGTCAATCCATAAATATTAAAAACACTAGCACTCTTTTTGCAAACCTTATTTTTGGAGTCTGAAGATATAGTAAATAAACTACACAGTGGTTTTTATCCCATCTTATTTGGACAACCCAGTCCAGAGATACAGCTATTTAAATGAAAGGACTTCAATTCCAAGTTGGGCCACTTTTCAGATTATCTGGTATCTACTGAAAGGCGTTCACATACCAAGAAGGTGTGTGAATGCCTTTCACAAAATACCAGATAATCTGAAAAGTGGCCCCAAACAGATTTTGACAGTTTGGTTTGCCGTAACTTTTAAACAAAAGGTCCAAATCACACAGACAAATGTCCTGTCAAGGGTAAAGAAACACCCTATCATCATCTTATGGTAAATTTTTTAACCCCCCCCCCAAAAAAAACCCCCACAATTTACTTTCCTAAAAAAAAGGGTTGTTTAGGCCCCCAAAAAGTCTCCAGTTTCTGGTATGGAGCTTACCCAAAAAGTGGTGTGGTGACGTGGCTTCTTTTTTTTTACCTGTCTTTTTTGCTTCAAATGTAAGCTGATAACTGCAAATGGTGCCCAACTAAACTTAGTGCAAATATATGGGAGTCCAGAGAGGCCACATAAAGCTCATTCTCGATCATAACCCCATCTAAAAACACGTTAAAATTGTGCAGCAGCAGGATTCCCGTCAAACCAGTGAGTTTGGCGGTTTTGAGACATCATCTTGTATTGAAAAAAAAAACCTTTTTCATTTTGCCGACGTGCATGGCTACGGCGACGCGCGCGCATACCAGAAACTGGAGACTTTTTTTTTTGGCCTTAGCAGCTACAGTTTTGTTTAGACACGCTGTACAACGCAGAACAGAGATATAACATCCTCCTGACATTAGGGCATCTGGAGAGTACAGTGACATAACCTGCAAGCTATATGACACGGGTTCACACCTCATCTTATCCATCATGTTTCTGTTTTGCTTATTTTTGGTGCTGGTCCCAGAGGGCCCGCTTAAAGTCCTCCTTTTGTTGTCTGTCCTCGAGCGTAATACAATACAAGAGCGCGCGCGCACACACACGCCTGTGATGTTATTTTATCATAAAGTTGTGGCGCTTTACTGTCAGGTGCCACGTTTTTGTCGACTGTATTTTGTTGTGAACGGCGCTTCATTGTTCACATCCTATTTTAGCAGGTTAAAATCCTTTACAGTTATGACATACTGCAAAACGCTCCAGCGCCCCATATCGATCGCCGCACGCAAATTTGAACTGTCGCGCTCTTCGTGCAACTTTTTACCGCCGCAGCACGCAGTTGCAGCTGGCAGTATTGAATATCCGAATAATCCGTCAAACACAGTTTCAAGTAATCGAATACCAAATTATTCGAAAGTGGACAGCCCTACTCACTGATTCACCTGACTGACTGTCACTTGTGATTTACACTTTTTACAAGTGTCGCAAGCTTGGGGGTCGAGTGGTAAGACGTCTGCCATAGTAAGCAGGAGGTCATGGGTTCGAGTCCCACCCGACTGATTTTGTTCTCACAATCACTCGGGGGCACGCATACTGAAATTTGTATTCTTGTGGAGACATTTCTTTGTTCTCGTGTAGTAAAGTTTTCGAGTTTGAAGGTGAAGTTTCAAAATGCTCTTATTTCAACCAGAATTAATTTCCTTAGCTGAAATTCGAACTTCATATCCCTTTTCTAAAACTCTTCCATTTGCGACAGATCAACCCACCTTGGAAATTCCTAGTTTTTGAGTAAAATCCATATATCTATTTCATGAAAATCTTGTGGAGACGTATTCATCCATAGAAATTGTCCTGTGGAGACGTATACAATCTTTTGTTCCTTATTGTACACATGTCTCCAGAGGGCACGGTGTATCAGATCAACACCGAGTATACAGTGTTTATAAAATACAAAATGTACGTCAGTGAAGGGCAAAACCCAATGTTGAATTTACATCAGCCCAAAGCAAATTCCATCTTAAGACTTGATGTAGACTTACCACACTGAATCCATTGAATAAAATGTGCATTCTGGAAGCAGCCTTAGCAGGCTTGCCATTGTGATCATGGGCCACAAACTGAAAGACGTGGTAGAACCTATTGCATTGTGGGCCCACTTTTATGCAGTGATGGATGCACTTGATGCCGTCAAATGTAACAACCATTCAATGAAATGCTATACGTTTGTCAAACTAGCTGTCTTTGTTTCGGGAGGCAAAAGTGGAATCCAGCGACCAGAATTAGAAGCTTTTACTGCGGTGGTGTCACGCTCACACACATGCTGCACGCGTTCTTAAAGACGAGGCGCACGCGCATTTTGGTATTCCTATTGGCCGAAGGAGCCCGAAGTGCGTGCGTACTACGGTACCTGAGCCCGACTCGCGCAAGCCTAAAACCATACAAAATGGCTGCTGCACGACGAGACGCACGCACATTTTGGTATTCCTATTGGCCGAAGGAGCCCGAAGTGCGTGCGTACTACGGTACCTGAGCGCGACTCGCGCAAGCCTTGCAAAACCGTACAAAATGGCTGCTGCCTGATTCGTTTATACTTTGTAATATTCACCGTGTCTGATGTAGAAAGAAAATTGTAGTTGTTACCATTGGGCAGTGAAACATTTTGCCAAACAAAGTTTGGAGTACAAATGATTACAAATGGTTTATTCTTATATAGTGACTGCCACACAAAATAATGGGTGCCGTGAAATTGATAACGTGCACGAAGACGTGTGAATACTTTCCCTTTTCTCAAATTCATTTCTCTACTTTTCACAAAACAGTCTTCCCTTATATAATGTGAATTCTCTCTGTTATCTTACATGTATACATAGCTTCAAACTTTCACCCAACTTCGGCTTCAAATATATACAATTTGTATGGCTTGTGTATGAGTGGATGAGTTAAGTATGAATGAATACCAAACGTCATACATATTCATGATCTAGCTAAGCATTGTCATTGGACACATTCACATGGACTGATGTGGGTATATATTTCTTTATGCTGCACATGTACCTCATACATATTCATGATCTAGTAATATGCTGCCATTGGCCAAACTGCCATGGTTGGCAGGATATGGTTTTGATATTATTTGTTTATGCTGTACATCATACATATTCATGATCTAGATATGTGCTTCCATTGGCCAAACCATCATGGCCTTTCTATGCAAATAGTCATGTGTCATGAACGAACTGTTTTTATTGGCTACTGCAGCCTACATGAGTCAGAGACAATGTGGTTTGAAAAAATGGAATGTAGTTTAAGCTTCTCATTAAATTTGCCACTTAAATGGATTACGTTTTAGCGTTGGTTTGCTTTTTATTAAAAGAAAATCACATGACGATTGGCCATGAGTTCCTCTATAGACTGAGTGATTTTTTTTTGCAAAAGTTTCTTGATAAAGTCTGATTTCTTTGGAAACTAAAAAAAAGCCTACGTGTTTCTGTATCATCCTCCAGTTATGTTACATTTTGTACAATATTTCACTTCGCAAAGGTATTTTTGTACTGTGGCCTTTTTTTCTTGCGATAAATGACACAAAACTTTACACCAATCAACCATTCCTAATAAATATAGACATCAATTGGGACAGATTCTTGTATATAAATCTGCTCTGGCCAATAACATCTCGCGTTACTGGAGCTAGTGTACCAAACCTGTCAGTAACGACAGATTTGATTGGATGAGGGGTTTATAATGCTAGTTACCATGGAAGCTTTGGCTCCTCCCACAGGGATCCTTCCTGACCAATCGCGTAACTCTATTGCCTACTTGGGGGTGACAGAGGCTAAGGTGATTGGTTGAGCTGCTCCAACTACTTTGTTATCTTGTTTCTGATTGGCTATCGCTGTGGTCTCAGAATGTCACCCAGCCAGGGTTATCGCTTCCAGTTCTGAATGAAAAAAAAAAAATATAAGAATTCACAGAGGATGAAAGGAATTGCATTTGCACAAAAAACCACAAATGTGCTTCAAAAACATCAGCAAGAAAGAAGCCTCCCGGAAAATAATCCTACACAATCCACTGTTTTTACTCTAACAAGTTTGCAGAGGCCAAAACAAAAATATATAGTTCTGCTTCCGGGTTCCCTACTAACCCTATCCTGACAGCCCCTACCCTAATATTTTTACGGGACAAATGAGAAAAAAAAAACACCCAAAACCATCAATTTTTACCTTTTACCCTTGACCGCAGGCAGACTCCTCCATATGATCGTACACAAACAAATTGGCCCCCTAAAAAAATTCCTACCTACCTACCTTATTTTCAAATGCCACGTAATCGGAAGCAGAACTATTTTTTTTTTTTGGCCCGAACATTTTCTCTCTTTTTTCCCCCCAGGCATTTGATTATGGAAAAGCAGTACGTACTGTGCACTCGTAAAATCCCCCCAGTCTGTTGACCCCTGGGGCTGCTGTGTCTGGGGTTGTGTCATGGGTTGCGTGGCGGGTTGTGACATGGGTGCCCCTCCAAAATCTCCTAGTAGGTCAAAATTGCTCTGCGGTTGGTTATTGCCACCTGAGAAAATAAATAAAAAATTTAAATCTTTTCAACAGGTTAATTCTACATTTTCACATAACTTTTGAAGAAAAAGATTTCCATACGTTTGTTTACCATAAAAAAGGTCATATTTCAATTCAGTGGTTGACTTCTAATGCATATTGTTATGCAATGTATTATTATCTTTCACTCTTTACATGTGGTACCAATGAATTTGATTTGATTCAGAAGTCTCCTAAATAGAAAACCAATGTTAGGCCAACAAAAAAAATAAGTCGGTCTCTGGTCAGCGCGCGCGTAGATTTTAATAATGCGTGTCAATCTTTTTTTTCCAAATTGTTCCGCGGTAGCTCCAACAGCGCCCTCTATTGCCGCGCCTCCTCATTTTTTTTTTACCAAAGAGCACCAAGGAATGGGAAATTGCACCAAGGCAAATGATCGAGAACATCAAGGCAAATTATGGAGGACACCAATGTACATGAGGACACCAAAAAAGCAAAATAGTACCCCAACTTGTCTGTACAATCCAAGCTTGAAGAAAAAAAAAGAAAAGAAAAAAAAACCCCAAAACCACGTCCCCGCGTCAATTCCGGAACTTTGGTCTGACCAGAGACCGAATATTTATTTTTTTTGGCCTTATTGACAGGGCCCTGGCAAGTTGACTAGCTGAAAACATGTACGGTGGAATGAAATTTCACTGGTTGCAAAGTCAGCAAGTTTTACAGGCAGAGTACATCATTTGCAGCTATCCAAAAACTTTTGCAGAGCGTGCCAAGGTGCCAGTTAAAAATTGCGTGCGGTGATCGATATGGAGTGTTTTGCAGTAAGAATTTTATAACTGCCAAGGGCTTTAACCTGCTAGAAGGATATAAAAAATGAACAGCCATCGACAAAATAGTTACCGTCGACAAACAAAGTGGCGCCTAACAATAAAACACCGCAACTTTAGGACAAAGTAACATCATTCGTGAGCGTATGTGCGTAGTTTTTTAGTTTTCGAATATTCAAAGCGGCAAAAAGGTATTGGAATATTCGGTTGATGATTTACTTATAATAATTTAATAATAATTTGGGAGGCTAATCATCCTTACTCGCAGCTGGTATGCTGAATTGCGAAGGACGCGGCGACAACGTGGTCGGGCTGCTGGCACGTAAAGGCGCCTATGGCTGCCGGCCACATCGACCCATATATGACCACGGAGCACAGCCTGAGATCGAAAGTGTTTGATTTTTCCGGAGGGAGGAAAACCGGAGGGCCCGGAGAAAAACCCTCGCGGCACAGGAGAGAACCAACGCACAACTCTACTCTCATGTGATCCGCGGCCAGGATTCGAACCGTGGTCACGTTGGTGAGAGGCGAGCGCTTTATGCACAAGCCACCCATGCCACCATAAAAAACTTATGACTGGACTTGTGATGTACCTGCGCTATATCACAAGTTTACACAGATCAATGTAGCCTACCTGTAAAGCCAAAACTATTGTTGGATATCGGCTGCTGCTGTTGCTGCGTGGGCGGGGGAGCGAAGCCCCCTAGAACATTCTGTCCCCCTGCTGATGACTGGGGTACCGTTGCACTTTGACCCGGTGGGGTTAGGGTGGGGATTTTGACCCCTGGGGGTGGGGGAAGGAGTCCTGGGGCTGCCACGCCGCCCCCTGTACTCCTGGGTCTTGCGGATGATGTTGCACCTGTTTTCTTGCCCTGTGGTCAAATTCAAAGACAGTCATTTCAGAAAAATTTACACTGAAGGGGGGGGGAATTATCAAGGGTTGGAAACACCCCCCTCCCCCGACAAAAAGGGGGAGGGAGGGGGTTAGCCGCACATAATAATTAACCCTAACTGCCCTGAATCCTTCAAAATCCTCTTTGCCAAAGTGGAGGAATTTGGAGGATTGAGGTTACATGGCAAAAGTGCATTACTGATTTCGTAGGATGCACTTTTTCAAGGTCTTGACCCGGGAGGTGGGGGTAGGAGGCAAGTTCCTTGTGCTGTTTTTGCTCAGCCATGCATAAATATAGGCCTGGATTATGCTTGAAATCCTCCGTACTGCTCCAGGATGTCACTGGCCAAGCCTCAACATATTGACAGTCACTGTCGCAGGATTTTGCAGGATTCAGGCGGTGGTAACCCCTCCACAGACCATATTCAAGAAAAAATGGAGGAATTTGCAGGATTGAGGCTATATATGCTATTTTTCTATGAGGCCAATTGGAGGATTTCACAGGATTGAGGCTACATCCTAGCAAAAAGGCCTAGGGAGTTAGGGTTAACGTGCTGAATGTGCTCTCTGCACTGTGGTGCACTGTATGTGGAGGTGGTTGAAACCATTAACACAGCAGTCTGGGCTGGCATATTGAAATTTCGGCAAAGATTTTTGGTTATCCTCCACCCTCACAGGGTGGCGTTCCACTTACACGAACAATGTTAACATTTGCCAATACTGAGATTTTGGACTTTGGGTAAATTCATGATGCCAGTAATCTATAAATCATTCTTTCACTGAAATTTCAACTCTTGGGAACCTTTTTGAAAACTTCCAGTACGGCAAAACACTGATAAGTGATTTGTACAGGAGATTTCTCTCACCCCGATGTTGATTTTGATAGTCTGGCCTTCTTTGAAGCCAAGGTCGAGTTTCGGACCCGGGTTTTTCGCTGCACTTTTTTCTTGTTCTTCTATTTCTTTAGATTGCTTGATCCACCTGAAATAAATACAATAAAAAGTCCACAAAGCATTAAATTAGGGATAGTTACAAAAAAGTCACAAGAATTTAGGAGGAATACATACACGGAAGTGGTTGGGGAAAGTTGGGGGGGGGGGGGGAAGACTTAGACTTAAAATCCCGCCCATATACTTTTTTTTACTAAAAAAAAACCCTAACATCTAAATATTAAAACGGTAATTGGGAACCCCTTAACAGTTAGCAGAAAAGATGTGCTAAGCAAAGCAGACAAATTTGCTAACTTTTTTTTTAAGCAGCGCCGTGAAATTGGGCCCAGGGGCTTATCAGTTTCACTTCTTCAAAATTTTTTTGATGACTCCAAAATGCTTCAAATTTAACACCAATTTTTGGGCAAGCAGCTCAAATATCTTACACAACTGGAAAGTTTTTTTTTCTGACAAGACCAGTACCATTTTATCACGCATCTGCAGTTTGAAACAAGGTGTTTTAATAAATAAGACTTATGTTCATTCTTGGTAATTTCATGAATGAAAAAAAATTGAAAACAAATCCTGAAATAAAGGTAGTTAAACACACAGAATACTTGGCTTCAAATGGACGATTTGAATTTATCAGAATCAAATGGTCACAGAAATCACATATAAAACACAGGACTCAAGTCTGTTAAAGCTATAGTCCATCATTTGCAGCAATCCGAAAAGTAACTGGCGTAATTATTGTTGAAAAACATACTTGGTTGAAAGATAGTAAGGGAACTAAACTCTCTGTGAAATTATTCTTTCTGGCAAGCTGTCATTTTGAAGTAATCAACGAAAGAAGGCCTTTCCAATGGTGCGTCTTAAGACGTACTGTAGGAAAATTAGTAGTTCGTTTTGTTATTCGGCGAAGCGCTTGCCAGCATTGGCACGACGCACACGGGCGCGTGGTTGCTATAATTCGTCGGATCAGTGCGCAACATCGCGTAGCTGCAATCGGCTCAATGAGAACGTGTCTCGGACGCTGAATTCAGGCCCAATTCAAAACATGATTCAGCAACTTTTGATTTGAAATTGAGATCCTAGAATGCTGTTTTTCTCGGAATATACAGCTGAAGCTGAGCTGAAACTTCATCAGGTTAGTTGTTCAGTATCCTTCATTAGATTTTGCTTCAATTTTGCTTCCAACGAACAAAATGCACAAATTACAAATGATGGACTATATCTTTAAATGGTTCATACACGTAATTCTGGCCCCGATACTCACTTGAAATGGTCTTGCAGTGCTACATTGAAGTCAAACGAATCGCCTCTATCTGTAAAACCGATGCCTACAAATGCCTTTCGACCTGGAAAACAAAAAGACAACTCATCTTAAAACTCAAGGACAACACATGAAGGTATGTCAACACTCGCTAGAAGTCATGTTTAGAGAAAGGCTCCATGCAAAGGGAGAGATTGGAGAGACCGCTGGGAGAGACATTCCCACGCATTGCTGACGACGCCTGACGCTCATCGGCAACCAAGCTCATCCCAAGCCTCAAGTCCCTGTCTTATGATGAGAGATTAAACAAGCTGCACCTCACCACACTAGAAACAAGAAGGAAAAGGGGGGATCTCATCCAAACCTACAGAATCATGACTCAAATCGACAAGATCAATCCAGACTCAGCGTTTCAGAAAGCAGACTACCAGAGGTCATTCACAGAAACTGGCCAAATCCAGACCAAGACTTGATGTCAGAAAGCACTTCTACAGCCAGAGGGCAGTGGATAGCTGGAACAAATTGCCTGAGAGTGCCATCCAAGCGCCCACACTTCTCTGCTTCAAGCAGAATTTAAGTAACTTGGTTTTTTTAATGGGCAGATGAAGCCCCCTAAACCCTGCCACACTTCTCTTCTACATGACATGAAGATGGAGGTGTGGCCTTCAAGGTATGTTCAAGGTATGTTCACGCAAAGACGTTGTGGCTTTGTACACTTGGAATAAAATAAGTCATGTGTACAACACTATACGTGCATGGACGAATATATGCACACGCGGTGTGTCCCTTCTACTGGGCTCCCGAAAGTGGTCCAATAGCGCCCTCAATTGTTCACACACGGAGCCTACACTGATTGTTCTGCAGGAGGGAAATAAAATCTGAATCCTGTCTAGGGCTAAAACTACATGCATATCTTGGAATCTATGAGATTGCAGATAATAATATTAGCGCTTTATTATCAGGTGCCACTTTCTGTCGAGGGTCACCTTTCTTTTCGATGGTGGTCCATTGTTCACATCCTTTCAGCAGGTTAACCCTTAAGGACGGGGTGTAATGGGGACATTCCTCCACACATAGAGCAAGTGGCCCGCATGACTGCACAGCCTTTGTGTGGTAGCGGGACTGCACAAAAGCAGCAGCTGTGGAACTACCCACTAGCCATGTGCCATGGCATACCACAGCTGGCAACTGCATTCCAATGAGGATTAGTGGCCGCGGCCATGGCCATGACCGCTTCCTGTCTTTAAGGGGTTAAAACCCTTTACAGTTATAAAATACTTGTTGTAAAACACTCCAGCGCCCCACATTGATCGCCGCATTCAAATTACAACTGGCACACTCTTCGTGCAACTTTGTTCCAGCGCAGCACGCAGCTATATATTCGGTCAAATGAGACTTTTCAGGTTATCGAATTCTAACTCATTTGAAAACGGACAGCCCTATGTTATGCGTACATACCTCCGTCTGATATCCTGATGACAAAATAGCGACTGGAATCTAGCACCGCCTCCACTGCTATACTGGGGTAGGCTTCTATAGGTGCTTCAGCAAACAATTCACCTGTTTCGAGGGAAATAAGTTACAACTATTACATGGCTTGAGGGAGGAAAGTTGATATAGGCCCTCGGCATTGACAGTTGTCAAGATAGAACCCTCAGCAAAAGTCCCCCGAAATAAAGTGCGCTATTTTCGGAGGTTCGTACCACCAGCCACCTCAGTTGTGATCGCATCTTTTACATGGTTAGGAGTCTGGGAGCTAATCTTGGGAAACTATTCCCTGGTACTAATGACCAGTTTGGCAACAGTGCATGTGTCACATGTGTGGAAGTAATTCTTTATAGGCAGTGGATATTTTGCCGGAGACGGCAAACCTTCAGTAAACGTTAGTTTGCCGGATATGCACTGAACATGCGCAGTTACTGTTTTTTTGTACTTGAACATTTTCCGGTGACAAATTTTAGTCTGGCTCCATGCCAATATTATCGTTGTATTTTTGTATTTACAAGATGGGAATCAGACCATTTTATAATTTCGGACTTTATTTCCCTTTAAAAAAAAATCCTCCAGAGCCACAAATCTGAAAAAGAAAAAGTATTACTCTGCAATATAATGTTTGAGACATATTAAAATAATAAAAGAAGAATATTCTTATTTATTTGGGGATGGGAAAAAAAACCTTGGATTTGTAGCAGTGATCAGGAATCGAACTCGGGACATCCCACTCACTAGAGCCATTGCTTAACCATTGCACCGAATGTGCTACCCAACATTGGTGGGAATTTAATACATGTTATTATTCAGCCCTATCTTTAAGAGTACAGCGCCCTCTGTTGATATGAATTACCGCCGGCAAACCTTTAGTAAACGTTAGTTTGCCGGCGTTACCTCCGGCAAAATATCCACTACCTTCTTTATACTTCCCTGATGCTTTGAAACATCCACCAATGAAAAAAGTGCGTTTGTCTCATGAATATGTATGAGGTGTAATAATAAAAAAGTTGCCTCTATTTAACATACCTGCTTTGTCTTCCAGTTTGATGATGCAATCTTTTCCTCGAGCGACGATCCGAAGCCGCCCGGTCCAGTCTGGACTGTCTAACTTCCATTCAGATGCTCTGCAGATGGAAAACCATTTATGTCTTCAGTTTGTTAGTGTCTGTTTGCATGAACTGTGAGAAGTCTCTTCTAACGCTACAGACACAAAACAGACTGACACATTTTAAATGTTAGAAAGGCAAGTTAAGTTGGGGAATCTAAAATCTTAATAAGGCACTCGGTCAATGTACATGGTGGACTGCTTCCTACAAAAATTGGTCTACCTGGGTTAAAATTATTGGACCTACCAAACCAGTTGGCAAAATTCTCGCTGTTGTGCCCATTCTTGAAAATCACGCATTCTCGAGAATGGGCGCGCATTCTTAAGAATGAGCGCCCATTCTTAAGAACGAGCACGCGTTCTTAAGAATGAGCGCTCATTCTTAAGATTGGGTGGGAATATCACGTGCACAATTTATGAATTTTGCCCAATCTTAACAAACATTGCACGACATAATTATGTTAAATGAATTGTATAGCGGTTAAAAGGGAAACAATTCATATAAAGAGGAAAGAAAATGTTCTATGCTTCTGTACTCGTATAACTACGATAATTTGAATCATATTAAACCTGTTATTATTGCTTTTTCCTGCCTACTTATGGGAAGTTTTGTAATAACGGAGGACTGGGAACTAGTCTGGGAAGTGCTTTGTTTAGGCTAGACAAGTACAAGTCCCTGTATGTATCATATGCGTGCCACGAAAAAAAAACGATGTCCAGAAGCTGCCAAAATTGCTCTTTTGACTAGATAGAATCCAGCTCTGCGACGTTATGGTGGGATGTGAACAATAAATTGATGGCAATTTAAATGGGAAATAGCATTAGCACTATGGGATGTCGCAGTATTCATTCTCATTCTTCACATTCTTCATTCTTACATCCCCCCCCCTCTTTTATTATCCCAAAAATCTGAATTCTTTCTTATTTATTCTTATTTTTTCCCCCGGTCCCCTCCCCCAATACGCGTATACTTTTCATATCCACTCTACTTTTCAGCACCTTGCGTTGCAACAGTATAATTATTAAGAATCAGTGAACGAGGATGCAGCTAGACTTGCCAAGCGCAGCCGGTGCTCGGCATCGACAAGACCGTTATCTTGTCGCGCATTCTCAAGAATGTGCGCTCAATCTGGAAGAGTTATTTTTTGCCAAGATTGAGCAAGGATCCAGTTGCACATTCTCAAGAATGTGCATACCCATTCTCGAGAATGCGTGATTTTCAAGAATGGGCACAACAGCAATAAACAGGTAGGGGGGCCTATGTCATACTTATAGATAGAGGGTGAGTTTTGATTTTTTTGAGGGAAATTTGGGGGTAAAATGATGACAGCACAGCGACAACACGCGACCCGAAAAAAAAAAGATGGAGACCACCGCGCGATGTACCGTGAGCATACTCCAAGAACTATGAGGCTCCACGTAGTGGAGCCTCATAGATTTAGAACCCCGCAAAATTGTTGTCAGCACAAAACACTAATTTATTTTAATTAAGTACAAAAACGTCCATCAAATTTCCAATAAATTTCTGCATTTTGATGGACGTTTTTGTACTTAATTAGTGTTTTGTGCTGACAACAATTTTGCGGGGTTCTAAATCTATAGGAGTACCATGAGCACGCACGGCGCGCTGAATCGCAAGGCACAAACCGCGCAGCAAAATCGTGACTTCTACCCCAAGAAATGAAGAATCTGTTCACAATCACAATTGCAAAACGGGTCATGCGGTAGCTGGAGTTACCCAGCCCCGAGTTTTATCATTGGGTTGTCATTGTTTTATCATTTGGGTTGGGCTGGAGCGTATTTTTCTCGTAACTTGTAGTATATTCAAAAAAAATTGGAAAATGTTCAATTTTGTCCCCGTTACACACTAATTGCAACTGCAACTCACCCCAAACTTGCCTGGAATAACCATTACACAGGTCCTTGAAGTAAAAAACGATCCACGATGAAGATTCAGCCTACAATTGCAGTGAAAACAGGAGGAATAACCGCTAACTTGACAACCTTGCTGGATTGGCCAGGACCGCAATTGGTTTGTGCACAAAAAAAATTGTGTACAATGAATGGCGGTTGATTAACAGGCACAGAGAGCGATCGCTGTCAACTACTCGGTTTTGCCGGCTGCGCTGGCTGTTGGCGCATGACGTCACGCGGAAGCGTAACACCCGATGACTGTTTCATGCACTATTGGTTGCGGTTCCAGTACCAAAGCTGTGATGCGAGAGGTAAACCTTATATTAGTGCATGAAACAGTCATCGGGTGTTACGCTTCCGCGTGACGTCATGCGCCAACAGCCAGCGCAGCCGGCAAAACCGAGTAGTTGACAGCGATCGCTCTCTGTGCCTGTTAATCGACCGCCATTCATTGTACACAATTTTTTTTTGTGCACAAACCAATTGCGGTCCTGGCCAATCCAGCAAGGTTGTCAAGTTAGCGGTTATTCCTCCTGTTTTCACTGCAATTGTAGGCTGAATCTTCATCGTGGATCGGTTTTTTACTTCAAGGACCTGTGTAATGGTTATTCCAGGCAAGTTTGGGGTGAGGGAAAAAATTCCATACTCGGACGTCACTTTTTTCAATTAATTTTCTAGTGCCAAAAGTTACATCTTTTATGGTTATTCCTCCACTTTCCCTCCTCTACTCTTACCCTCTCCTTTCCCTTAATTTCTATTTATTAATCAGTCATTTACTTCATCGGGATTCGAACCTCTGACGCTTGCTTGATACACGAGACTCTTAACCGCTAGGCCGCGCACGATCGCTGTTGCAATCATCAATCTTTGGACGTATTTGAAGTATCCATTGAAATAAACTAAATATTCATGAGAAAATAAATATTCATAATGACGTATTGCACTTTTATTGGCAGGCTCATGCGACGTCATGGTTGTTGATGTCACGTGTATAACGTACCGCTGTCTTTTCAGCCACTACAATCAGTTTTGACCGGCTGCTTCAAGTTAGTTCTGCACGACGTATGCATCCAAAATGTGCTCTAAAAACACATTTTGAGTAAATTTTTTTCACCTTTACACAGCTTCCTGGATTTCTTTTGGTTCAAATGACAAGGTGAGGTGACAATAAATATGTTTGGCAGCAGATAAATTGACATCCGAGTATGGAACTTTTCCCACTACAAGTTACGAGAAAAATATGCTCCAGCCCTAGATGACAACCCAATGATAAAACTCAGGGCTGGGTAACTCCAGCTAGTCATGCGGGTGTCAATAATTGATGAGAGAAGTCTGCTTATGATTGTCAGATTGTAGAGGTGATTTTTGAGCAATAAAAAACCTTTATGACTCTAACTTGATCAAAACAAAACAGGGGCCCTTCACTTCACAATCGCCGATATAATTTGATTTTGGGGCGAGTTTGTAAAATTTTTGCCTAGCCCTAGCGTTATCGCTTTCCATTTTGTGCACACGGTTATTGACGAGGACGATCAGCCGTCACACTCAACTTACCGGAAGCCTCTGTTACTTGATCTGGGCGGAATTCTTGAGAAAACTTGAACCTCTGGCTTGACGCACAAGACACTCTCATAAACGTCTGTAGACATTTTCCGATTTTAATAAACGTTTCTTATTAGAAAGTGGTAAATACATGAAAACTGCCAGGCAAGTGCGGGGTCAAATCGGAACACTTCACACTTCACTGGTGCCACGCATACGATCGTACAGTTTACGTACGGCACGCACAGTGGGTTGATTACCAGCGAACTCTGTGAAGACTAAATGCCCATGGCATGAAGAGGGCGCTAGACCAAATACATGGGTGTAAAAAATGGGGCCCATCGATCGGGACTCTGCCCATATAATCTTTCCCAATGTTATTATTTAAATTCATTAAAAGATGTCTATTGAAGTTTACACCTTTTCTTTGTTTTATCTATGGTTTTTGTTGTTTTTTTTGCAAAGGAGAAAAAAAAGAAGAGAATTGCAAATCAATCCATTCGCCGATTGGATATTTTTATTCGAAACAAACCGTTTGAAAGTCATACAAGACCAAATTAAATTTGGTCTTGAATGACCACAAGTTTTGGTTGATCAATTTAGCAGAAATTCTAACCCAAACAATTGGTTATAGAACAACCCAAGTTCGGGTAGTTCCAGTTTTCACCCTTTCTTTGGTAAAATTAACCCAGGCAATTTTTTCAGTGTAGTACGTTATGCCCTGGCCAATCATGATGTGGTAAATACTATGTATGCGCAGTATTATATGTTGCTGCGAGAAGACAAGTTCAAAGCAGCCGTCAAAAGTAGTGCAATAAGTTTAAAGGCCAAAAAAAGTCTCCGGTTTCTGGTATGAAGCTTGCCCCAAAAGTGGTGTGGCGACGCGCTTTTTTAGTTTTTTTTACTTTTTTTCCCTTCAAATGTCGGCTGATGACTGGAAATGGTGCCCGACTACATAGTGCAAAATGTATTGGAGCCCAGAGAGGCCCCATAAAGCTTAATACTCGATCGTAACATCATCTAAAACACGTTAAACTTTTATTGTGCAGCAGCAGGATTCCAGTAAAGCCAGTGAGTTTGGCGGTTTTGAGACATCACCTTACATTAAAAAAAAAAACTTTTTAATTTTCCCAACGCGCATGGCTACGGCGACGCGCGCGCATACCAGAAACTGTCAGGGCCCAATTTCATAGAGCTGCTTAAGCAGAAAATTTGCTTAAGCACGAAAAAACATTGCTTAGTAAAATTAGGTTACCAGCCAAAACTCCATGTGATGTACATTGCTTGTGACTGGTATTTAGCTGTTGTTTACTTAGCATAACAATTGCATGGAGTTTTGGCTGGTAACCTGATTTTATTAAGCAAGACGTTTTTGTGCTTAAGCAAATTTTGTGCTTAAGCAGCTCTATGAAATTGGCCCTGAGACTTGTTTTGGCCTTACCAATAAAAAAAGTACCGTAAACAGCAACCAAGAAACTGTTTTTCATTGTCAGGGAACCAGACTACAAGAATATGATTATTTTTTCTTGTTTTTTTTTCGTCATCTTCGAACCCAAAACGTCAAGAAAGTCAGAGTTTTTTTTTTATTTCTCCAAAAACATGACCAGGAGGACTTTTAAAACAATTTTATTAACTGCCTTGGAATTTTAATCCCCGTAAAGTGAATGCTTGTAGGCAATCGAGTTTTCTCCCACTTCCATAATTATGATATAACAACACCTGAGCAAAAAATGTACATATGAAATTTCACCTGACGGAATTATTCGGGTCACAAAAGGGTCGGTATACACAATATCAGTGCACATGTACATAAACATATGGTATTGTCCTGACTCGCACCGTTAGCGAGCTTGTCAATTTATGTGCGAGAGATGTCTTGCTGACGTTGCCCAGTTCCCCACGGCGGTAAACTAGACTGCCATAAAACCTCAGTGATAATTACGCGCACTTCCCAAAGTTATTAAAAATACTCACAACTCGTCAAGGTATTTTAGACATACATCAAACTAAAGCTTTTTATTTCATCATCTTTCACTTTCCGTTCAATTTGTGGCGGGGGGGGGGGGGGGTTATCTATGACTTTTGGGAGAAAAGTCCATCCAAAGATGATCACCCCTAAAAGCAGGCCTGAAGCCCATCGCCATTTTGAAAACGGACGCCTAGCCTGCGCTCCATTGCAAAATAGAGCAATGAGGGCCTAATTTCACTCACATTTCACATTATTTTATGCGAACTCGCAGTTCTCTGCACGGCTTCCACCCTTCTTTTAAATTTTTTTTTTTTAAAATAAGTCCTCCAGTTCACGGCCCTCAAAATGCTCCAATACCGGTAGACTTGGTGTCAAGCCGGTGATTGTTTGCGTACGGTAACCGGTTACTGGCTCCATGCACGCAAAATATATATCGCTGCATGCATGCAATGCGCGTAGTCCGGTTCCCAGACCAAATGATGCTGACTAATGATGTTCAATTACCTGTCGTAGCCGCAACTTGTAGACGTAGACATAAATAAACGGGACCCGGTCGATTACGTACTAGTCTTATACCAGCCGTGCCGATGGAGTTCGACTGAAGTTCAGGGACAATCTTACGACTTGTCATCAAGTCGTAAGATACCGGAGAATTTGAGGGTATGCAAATGTGATTTGGCCTGCGTAGGCAAGTTCGGGCCTTTTTTTTTTTAAATTCTGGTCTGCACCATAATGACACCGACACCATGCAACACGGGATGGCGCTGTTAATGTCATCGTGGACACAGTCGCGGGTTCATATGTCATAGTTCTCGGGAATCCCCAGATCTCAATGTTGCTACAATGCCATTTCAGTGCATATTTGTGTAAATTCGTCTCATGGCTTCCTGTTCGCAAATGGTGACGCTTTCAGCATAGAGCAAGGAACATGATTTATGCATTCAGGATCAGGAAGTCACGATTGATTTTTGTTAAGAATCAACTCGCGGTGCCTTGACTTCCTTTCATTATAGGAAATGATTAGATCCAAAATGTCCAAATCCGTGGCTGTGTGTACGCATTTACTTCACATGATTCTATTGATCAGACTGGCTGCGGGTCAGCTGACTGGGCCAAACGTGTGCAGAGAGAGGTGAGAGTATTACAAGTTATATTTTTCATGTGTGAAAGCATTTCCCCCCATAGTAGGGCTTTGTATTTTTGAATAAATTAGTATTAGATTAATTTCAGCATGGACTTGATATATACTTTTTCCCCATCGCAGTTTAATACGTCTGACATGATTTAAAAAAAAAAACCCCAATTATGCACTCCTTAATGCAGTCGTCCTTCAAAAGTAAGGCTTATGAATAGCAAACTATACCTATAGTACCCAACATAAAACAAACCGTTACGATGTCATTCGTTAAATGGAATATACAACAGTTGCAAACATCGAAGAATAAAACTACCAAGTTTTTACGAAATACCTTACTAGGATGTTGGTAAATGACAGTCTAAAGCATCCTGTAAAATAATGGGACCTGGTGTGAAGTCATATTCAAGAAAATAATTTTTGTATACATTTCCAACGGTGGTCGGCCGACCAACGTTGGAAAAACCTGACTTTTGTCAACTACTGCTCCAAATTTACCCCTTTTTTCAGTCCAAATTTTGTTTGCTATGGGTTACATGTTCACGAACAGGTGCAGGCCAGCTAGACTGATTCCCTTACCTTACAATTTTCCGGCATCTATTAATTGATCCATTTTATCTTTAGTGGAGTCAGGGAACCAGACTACTTGAACATTTTTGTTTTCTTGGTTTTTCCAGCATTTTCGAACAAAAAACTTCCAACATTTTAGTGCAACAACATTGATCTATTAAGTTAATCTCTCAAATAGTTCATTTCTGAAAATTGCAGCAAAAACCAATGATGTACATTCCCTTTAATAATGAAACTAGACTTGAGGACAAGTCGCTAGACAGTCGTGTTTTGTCTGTCGGCGCCCCAATATTCAAGTTCACTAGGATTGCACGGCGCTATGTATTGTGTTTATCATTTGCTGGCCTCGACATGTCTAGCGATTATGATATCGGACGGATATTCATTTATGCACCCAGTGAATTGCATGTGCATTAATCACGTTTCCGCGCAGAGGGCCAATGATACCTTTGTTTGCGTGTGTGTTAATCGCTGCACGCGCGCTGTATTTAAGGGTGCAGACCAGTAAGTAAGTTTAAAATTACCTACGCCGGCCAAAATCATCACGATTTCTTTGCCCTCATTTTTTTGCTATTAGAGCGTTTTGTGGGCCATGAACTTGAAGGTTTGTAAAAAAAAACCAAATGGATGGGAACCGTGCACTGGAGCAAGAGGTCGTCGTATTTCTGTGAAATTTAGCTGAAATTGGGTCTTGAAATTGCTCCATTTTGCAATGGAGCGCAGGCATCATTTTTCAAAATGGCGATGGTCCATAGGACTACTTTTAGGGCTGATCATCTTTGCATGGAATTTTCTCCCAAAAGTGTTCGGATTACCCTGCACAAATTCAACAGAAAATTAAAGATGATGAAATAAGCTTTTATTTGATGGGTGTCTCAAACACCTTAGTTGTAAATACTTTTTGGAACTGCGCGTAACTGTCCCTGAGGTGTATAATGGAGTCGATTTACTGGTCTGCACCCTATTAACATCGCACTGTCAAGGACGTCTTGGAACCAAGATGCACACGTACTTACGGTTCTGTGACAGTTCCAGGAGATAAATATTGGATGCTTAACTCAACATTTTACATGTCGGTTTCTGAAAGCCTAATGTGTAGCTCAAAAGTCACGTGATTAATAGTCAAATGACAAAGCATATATTATGACCAGTAGCATATCCGGACAATTTTGGGTCCAAGGGAGCAAAACTTTTTTTCGCTTGTAAATTTGTTTAAAAATGGAGTGTACTTAAGTTCTTACTGGTTTAGAGATACTCACTCTTTCATTCCCACCCATAGGCGTAGCCTCAGCGGGGGGTGGGGGGGGGGAGTGTATCCCCCCCAATATTTTGTAAAGACTGCCTTTTTCCATTCAAAGCCCTTTTTCAACGGGCTTACCCCCCAATAATTTGTAAAGAGTGCCCTTTTTTTTTTTACAAAGTGCCCTTTTTCTGAACAAGATGCTCTTTTCAAAAAAGAAGTGGTGCCCTTTTTGTGGCATCTGCCGTTTTGGGTGCCTTTTTTTTCGAATTTCGCACATGTATCGCCCTGAAAAGCACCATGATATTGGCCCTTTG